AACCATAGATAAGAGTTCGTCTACAACAGAAACAAAAACATATAAATACAACGTGTCGTGGGATTGTGATATATCCGTGTCAAAGCTCATGGAAGTGCTAAGAGTCTATTTCAAGAAAATCAGAAGACGTGACTCTTTTATCAACTTTAGAGCTTATGCTTACTGGCAGTTGCAATTTAGAAGTGCCGTGGTTATTGAAAAGAAGTGTGCAACGGTAACTGAAGAAGGAGAAAGAAAAGTACATTCGACTTATAGTTGTTCTCACTGTCAAAAACAAGCGTATACCTTTGTTGAGTGTCCTCACATAACATGTGTGAAGATGAGAGCAGTCTTAAAAGGCCATCCTCTCATCCCATCGATGCAGCTTCTCGTTAAAGAAGTTCTTCGCGAGGACAGACGAAAGGGACGGTATGGTTACTGTCCACCAATACTCAGATATAACAGTCAGCTTTCAAGGGCCAACAGATGTATTCTCAAGAAAACAGTATCTGCTAGTCATAATTCTACAGTGAAGCTTTTCAGCCAAGATCAGTTGTTGGGCACTGTGAGCGTGTTGAAGAGTAACAACTCCACCACTGAGGGCGTTAAAGAGATGAACAGGAAGAGAATGGCTTATGCTTCTAATAGGCACAAGTCGGCTACAGAGGTCGCAAAGAAAAGAGGCAGAGGACGACCAAAGAAGTCAGAGAAGCGCAAAAACTACAAGAGGAAAAAGCTTTTAGAGGAGACAGAAGCTGATAAAAGTGGCACAAGCACATCAAAATGATTAGTTTATGTATAATAAACATGAGCGTATCTTGTATTAGTCCATTCTGTAAACAAAGCCATATTCGATTAATGGGTCATTACTCCAACATCTACTACCATTGGATTTGTCAACACAACAACCATTTTTTCTACCATCTCACTGTGCTCATATGTACAAATGGACCACAACTCGCTCCTTTTGTGACCATAACTAGAACCCAAGCTACATAATAGTGCATAAGGCGTATTATTGGTAAAGACAACAGTAGTGCATTCGTCAAGTGCTCGGAAAAGTTTTTTTTTTCGCAAATTCACCGGCGAGAAAACGCCCACGCGGTGGCCACCGGTTCAGGCATTAGCTCCGATCCAGGTAAAGTGGCCCCGCCAGCTTGGTGTCCAGCAGTAAATTGGCGCAATTCGGGATCAACCACCCCCATGTGGGGCCCGGAGTTTGACACATCCTACACTTAAATGCTTCCACAACTCCACACACACATCCTACCACCACCAAAATCACTGTTCCACGCTCACAAAATTCACGCCTTTCCAATGAGACCAAAATACTCTGGTATTTGCACCATTTGGGTTTTTCATTCCATTATTTTACTGTTAACATCTACCCAAATTTTATAATCCGAAAAAGACTCACCTATTCTCGGAGATATCCTAAATTAATATATACTATATAATCCCATAACTCGGGAACTAGCAGAGCTTTCGAGCTATAACCACCACTACTGGATAGCTACGCTCCAGAGGTTACCTATGGGCTTAAGTTGTTTCCCGGTTTATGGGTGCCCATCTCCCTGGAAAGCAAAAACATTCTTCGGAGATGGCGCGAGCGTGAAACAATAGCGTATCGACGTTAACTAGTTTAGTAATGAGCAGCAACTCTGACAGCTTTAAACGATTGGGAGTGGACCAGAAGTACATTTTCGTTTCATATGTATCTTGTAGTACTGATTGTGTGACTATGTATGGATTATGGTGTCAGCTCAATGAGATGCTAAGGCGATAGTTGTAAGTATGGAGGACTGGTTGAGTAACGACAAAGTTCAATTGATGCTACTCAAACTACAATGACAACAACAATCTAAAAGAAAGAGACACCCCCTCTGGTTCTTGAGCCTTCATATATACCGTCAACCTCGGATGAGTAAGTTAGAACTATTGGAAACCAGTACAATTCGACAAAGACACGATCCAATATGGAAGAAGGACGACATAACGTGGAAGACAAGACGATGCGTTGCGTAAAATGGATGATACCTTGAGGAAACCAAACAGTTCTTATGAATAGCCTTCGAAAGTACCAATTAAACGTGCTGTAGACTCGAGAAGTAATACATGGTACAGATGGCGTGGGAGGTTTTCCACAGGTCAGTGAAAAGTCTTGATAGTGTAAGCACTTTGCCCACTCAAAATGAACACAGCGTGGTTGGAACCCTTACGACAACGTGTAAATCAATGATATTGAGTGTATCATATTCGATAGTCTCCACATGAGCTGGTGGTGTGTGCAGTGCCGTCAATCAGTGGGATTGGATCTTGGCTGCACTCTCTACTAACTGAGGAGATGAAAGAAGTGCAATTGAAAAGTGGAAACGTATGGATGACAAGTAGACATGCTCATGAGTGCAGAATATAATGCCTTAGATGTACATAGCTGAAACCCTATAGATCAAAGTAACCGATTAAAACTATCAGCACATCAGTTTCAATAATCGACACCATGCCCACTTGGAAGACGACAAAATTGGGTTTAAACTCATGATAAAGCATTCAAAGAAGTCACATCCGTTAATTGAAGAGCCAACCAATATCAAAGACTCACTGTAAATGCCACCACTCAATTGAGTTGTGCTGATGTAACTTGATTCATGAGTCGTTCTGGATTTTGGAATTTCCATCATCTTCAGTTCTAAATCGAGACAGCACAATGGTGACTCATGATAAAGCGTTCAGATAAGTCACAAAGTATTCTTCCTTTTCCATAGAATCGTGGATGAGTATTGGGGTGGCCTATCTTTGGTTTGTATTGTGTTGAGAGATCGCCTTCTTCATGAGTCCCTGTGACAACTGTTATCTCCAGGTAGCGAACAGAACTGTTTAGCAACCAACTGTAAAACATTCAGACAGAGTCATATTATAGTTCAGTTATGAGAAAACCTTCCACGAGAAACGTACATATGTTCTTGAGCTTGAGTTATGAGAATATAAGTGTCATCATCAATCACTGTGAACATCATCAAGTCTGATTGGAAATTAGTGTAGCTAAATGAAGAGCGGAGATGAAGCTTTCACACCAATCACACAAGATAGGCATGGTGTCACTAATGTAGCACTGCCGATGTGTAGTTGACGTCCCAATTGTGTCGTACAAAACTTCACTATTTCACGGCCCATATCAAGTTTGCGTTTCACACACAACAAAATGCAGATCGATACCAAGACCGTCAAATACCAGAAAGCAGGGAGACTCGGGTATTTATACCATCACTGTGTATGCTTCATCAAGTTGTTCTTGTTGAGAACCAATGGAAATGCCAGTTCAAATACGTAGATGTGTTGATCCCTAGTTGTTAGAATCTTGAGCCAAGGAGACATGTCTATACTTTATGCATGAGACAGAGTGGTGGCTTTTCACCCAGTCCTTTGAGTAAGAAACGATCAAGATGGTTCAAAGCTCTCATTGGAAGACCAATTATTGTATAGTAGGTGAGACCCTTAAAACTCTCATCTCTTCCTCTAGCGCTGTTCCTGTAACTTTCACAGTCACTCAAAGCCTTTCAAGTCATTTGGAATAGCCTTATGTGATACACAGAAGCATTCCATACTAAAGCCATCATCTTCCAAAGACTCAGTGCTTGAACTGTCAATGGAAGGAGTGTGTTGATATAAGAAAGTCCCCTTCGCTTTGTTGATGTTTTTTCTCAACCCCGCTCAATTTTGATGTTCGGAAGTTCGCAGTCAGCAAATGTGAAACCATGGCAACGCATCAATGACAACTACTTCCCCAACGTTCAATGACAACAGCTTTGATCCATAGAGAGTGGATTTAAAGTACAAGAAGTATAGCTCTCTATCATAGATAATTAGTTATATACCTGTGTGTAGCTTGTAGAATCAGCAGGAGGTGCCTATGGATGGATGATTTCAGCTACAAAAGGTCCAATGAGTAACAACAAAGGTCAATTCATACTTCTCAAGACATAACCCAAGCCTAAATCTACCAAGACATACACTTCACAGTACAGAAAGGGTACAGTATATTGTGTGACTCTACGCAAAGCATTTGGAAAACAGAGTGAGTGGGGATCAATTGATTTGGTCATCTCAAAGTTTACAATAAAGTAACAAGAAGAGATAGCTGTATCCAAACATCACAGCAAAGTCTTAGACCATCCACTATAGTAGCTCTTCTAATTCGATATCTCTGAATCATACCATGGTGATTATCTTGTGTCATTCATTCCAGTTCGGATAATGAATCTCCGTCTAAAGGTGCCATCAAAAAAACAGTAATGATATGGGCAAAGTAGCAACAACCATAAACCATTCAAGAAATTGAGTCTCAATCATTCTACGACAAATGTATGAGTTGGTGAGCCATCTCATAAGGTGCCAAGAGACGTGTGATTACCAATAAAGCAAAGCCCATGGATCATATGAAATGATGAATATGTCAGATGGTGTCTAGATTGATGATCCGTCAACCTCAGTAGTGTATCTGTGGATTATGAATAAGACCGATTAGCTTCTTAGATTGTTGAAGTTTATATTTCCTTAGATGAACAACCAAATACATTGTTCACTATGTCTGCTGATAGAAATACATCAATGGCTTGAGACATCCGGTTGAATATCCAACAGATGCAAGAGAGGAACCAGGCACTTCTTGTGGTTCACTCTCCACATGAGTATCCACATATACTGTAACTTTGATCATCGATAAATTCGATAGGTGTATGTGATGTAGGGTACACCAATGTAAGGATTTCAAAAGTACCACCATTTGGAAGACAACAGAGTTTGAATCAAACTCATGATAACACATTATAACAAGTCACATCGTATAGTTAGCTGTCAACAGGATATCCTGTAGTTGCTGTGTGTTCAAGCTCTCTGTTGAACTGTGTAAGTAGAGCCTGCATCATCAAATGTTCTGGATTTTGTAAACCATCTTCTTCAATTTGAAGTCGAGACAGCACACCAGTGACTCATAATAAAACATTCAGATAAGTCACAAATCACACTTCTGGTTCCATATGAGCCTTTTTGAGTACTGTCTTGTTTACCCCTTGGTTTCTGTTGTCTATGAATAAGATCTTTTTCCTTAGTCATTGGAATCACCGATATTTTCAAGTTAGACAGCAGAGCTCTTTGGAAACACAGTGCAGAACATTCAGACAAGTCTCATAGTATAACTGACTTTCCATAAAATGCACCGTATGTAATATACAACCGTCATTTCGTCTGAGATCCGTAAATGGAAGCTGTTTCAAGAATCACTAAGACCATCACCAATTTCAATTCGAAATCGATGTAGTTCTATGAGGAGTGAAGGTAAACCCACCAAGACAGTTTCATGATCCAGAAATGTCTATCCTTCATGGTCTATTGGCACTGTGTACATCTTCTTTGATTGATGTCGAGTACTGGGGGACTGTTTCAAGAGACACCTCACATTTGTGTTTCACTTATACCAAGGAGCAATAGAGAGCCACACAATACCATTAAGCGGTAGAAAACAACAACACTTGGATATTGATACAATCTATGAGTATAATTTGTCACCTCATTACGCTTGAAACCATATGGAAATGCAAATTCATATGTATAGATGTGTTGATTCAGAACTATGTAAAGCTTTAGCCAAGGAGATAGGGCCATACATCGTCGAAATGAGGAATTGAAGTAGCTTTTTGATCTGTGGTTTGAGTTGTAAGTTAACCGAATAGTCCATGTGATCCATTGATACCAGTTTTCCCATCCAGTTCTCTCATTGAAAGACAACGTCTTGTACGTCAGGAGAAATCATTGAGACTTTCATATATGCCACCTCTAACACTGGTATTCAGACTTTCACAATCACTCAAAGCCTTTCAAGTCATTTGGAATAGCCTTATGTTATAAGTAGCAGCATACCATACTAGAGCTACCATCTTCTAACGTTTTCAATCTTAGACTGTTAATGGAATAAGTGTGTTCATACAAGAGAGTTCCCCTTTGTTGATGTTTTTTCTCAACCTCCACTCTATTTTGATGTGCGGATGTTTTGGGTCACCAAATGTGAAACCATACCAACGCATCAACGATACTTCACCAACAATCAATAACAACAACAGCTTTGATCCATAGAGGATGGACTTCAAGTACACTTGGTATAGCTCTTTGTAATATACAGATAAGTAAGTGACTTTGTATTGCAGGTAGGATCAGCACGAGATGGTCATGGCTGGATGACTTCAGTTACAAAGACTCAATGAGTATCAACAACGGTCGATTCATACTCGTCAAAATTCAACATAGACGTCGATCTATCAAAGAGGAGATATCTGGTGACTCATAAATAGTGTTGTATACACTGTAACAGAAATTAAAACGTTTAGAAAACCAAGTGAACTGGAATCAATAGGTTTATGTTATACTATAAATCAAAATATGGCAGTAACAACGAGAGACAACAGTTTTCAAGAACCACAGGGGAAGTTTGAGCTGTTGATGGCAATTACTCTACACTTTCGATGCTTTTGAATCACCATATGGTAATCGTATTGGGTTAATCTGAGAGTGTTTGTGTTGACTCACTGTTAAAATTTGGACTAAAAAAGAGCAATGGTATAAACGAAACAGCAAATTTCAGATCACCACAGAAGAAATTGAATCGCTGCAATAGCCCTTACCAGCTAACATTCATACCAATTACTCATAAATGATAGTACTAGAAGGTTCCGTCCCACCTAATTATCTTTTAATGCTGATCAAAGTAGCTTGGTGCTTATTTTTCAGTTTTGTTTCCCGCATAGTCAGCTATAGCATATGTATCATGGGCAAGTTTCCCATAGTTCTGGAAGAACAACCATACATAAACATCCATACTAGGAGTACCCACGCTGAAGCCCAACAATAATTGATCTTATTCAATGAATGATGATAGAAGTTTCTCTTATTGTTCTGTGCGGGTTGTCAACAAACAAGCAGAAGCTCCCAAGGGGAGGATTCTCTTCGAATGATTCATTTAGCAAAACGCTGTCAAGGATATCCAAACGTATGATTGAATCTAATACTACTTGAAGAATTGAACATTATCATACGTCAAAACACTCTTTGATGCACAACTGAACTTCCCAATTTGGCATGTAGCCAGGTTGATGGTGAAGTAATCCAGTCTTGGTTGGACAATGGAACATGAATCTGGTATTCCAAGCTCTCATGACTACTAAAAGTTCAATGTGAGAACAGCAAAAACAATGGATAGATTAGAAGGAACTGTATCAGATGGTCTCCACATTCATGATCCATAAGCCTCAGTAGTATTTCCGAGGATTATAAATAAGACCCCTTAGCCTCTAAGATTGCAGAAATTCATACGTATGTAAGAAGTAACGAAACTTATATTGTTCACTATGTTGAATTCTTAAGGCCTCAAACTCGGTAACTTACTGAGTTCAGTAGACATAAGGTACTAAGTAGAGACTAATCAGCAGTGGACAGTCCAATGTCTATGTATACTTTGATGTTGATGATGTATCGCAATAAATAGACCTGCATTCGTCTATCATATAGTCTTACTGGAACTGTATCATAGTAGGGTACACTCTATAGTTACCAAGATACCTGTAAAGATGCTTGAAGATTATGTAGACTAACCTAACACAGCGGCAGCTCATCCAGCCTTTACACAATCTCGGAGTTTTTCATTATGTGCCATATCACCAGGTATGGAGACATCTCCAAGTCAGATGTTAACCCGTAATCATATACCGACAGATATTAGATCTTCGATCACCAAATACGATATCACAAACTTTAAGGGCCAACAGCCATGACTGTGATAACTCAACAAATGTAACTGACAAGCCTGTTCAACAAAACCAACAATTAATCAGCACTGTCTTACAAGTGGCGCATTATGCCTAACACGGAGGGCAGTAGTATTCCCATGATTCTATCTATTGTCCATTCATCTGACACGATATCCTGTTGGTAGGTGAGCCTTCCAATGCCGTTCAATAAATCATCACGACTCTACAAGTTGTATCAACGATGAATCGTATTAACAATTCAGATAAAGCAGGGAGAAATATCTAACTTTATTAACTTGAAGGGGATTTGAAATTGAAACGAGGATGGTTCAGTAATCTGAAGCTTAAATTATCATATATACCTCATCAGAGTACCGCATCATAAAGTTAACTATATATCAATCTTCTGGATTCTGATCGTCGAGCTTTCTCTGATTTATCCAGACTTTAAAAACCATAGACAGGTATTGGTATTGCAAAATCCAACCTCCATGATTGTTCACAGAATATACCACAGATTTCGTCATTCTTAGGCCCTAAAACCGTTGTAAACATTTTTGGAAGTTCTTCTTCACAGTGAATCCAATTCCTAGACATCAACTAGAAGTGTTTGTTTACTAACATTCGTTTGCTGTGCCCTCACATGTAACATTACCTTTGTTTTGATCAAAATTGCCCTTTAGTATACAAATTGGAAGTCGAGTCTTCTGTTTCCCACATCTGTTGTGTTTTCACGATAATCTTGTTGTTCTTCTGGGGACATTGCATTCCATTTGCGAGCCTTCTGGCGATTTCTAATGATATAGTATTGTCTAGCTGCAAAACACGCAATTATTGCAGCGACACTGATTCCAACAAGCCAGCTATTACCCCTGTGGTACAATGGTTTGTCGTCAGCTCTGTAAATGTTTGATCCCACAATACTTGCAGCCTGTGAAAACATGTTCACAATAGCTGCACTAACAGCTCTAGCACGCACAGAGTTTGAGTTCGAAGAGCACCACGAGATAGAAATCGGCCAGAAAGGGGCATGGCCCAACAGGATAGTCAAAATGACATAAGTTGGCCATACATCGACTTGAGTACCAGGCCAAAATCTAAGAGGAACCAAACACGACATGCACCAAACTCCTGTGAAAGCAAGAATCAAAGCACGAGTTTTCAATTTTTCACTCAACCAACCAGTGGTGACCATAGTTATGATGGCTAAAACGTTTGCAGGGATAGTTAAAAGATTGGTGTTGAACTTAGAGAATCCGAGTTGACGCAATGTAAGTGTCAAATAATTCGATACAGGACTGGTCATCATATCACCAAGGAATCTGACGATGTAGATTGGTAATAAATCAAAATCCGTGAAGGACATCGCCAACTCCTTCAAACTAACGGGCTCTCTATTATTCATATCACCTTTTGTAGGATCGTCCCTTAAAACACGGTTAACCACAATCTTCTCCTCACGATCCGTGAACCATCCATTCTTTCTGTACCATGTTTTAGTTTGGGCTGCTGAAGCAGGCATCATAAAATAACTGAAGACACCGATTAAGAAAGTGAAAACACCTTCTACGAGAAAAACCCATTGCCAACCGTGAGGGAAAACATTGGTCTGGATTCTGATAAGAGCAAATCCCAATAAAGCACTCAAAATACTAGTCAAAGGATTGGCAATGTAAAACAAAGAAAGTCTCAATGGCATCTCACTGTTCTTGTAGAAATATGACATCCATAGACATGTGTCACAAATGAACCCACCTTGGAAAAGACCAATGAGGCCTCTTGTAATGTAGAACCCAGCTTTGTTTGTGATAGCAACTTGAGAAACAGAAACCACACTCCATAGACAAAGCTGGGTTGGAATCCATAAATCAGCACCGATCTTCTTTGAAATCAACTGGGATGGTAACTCAGCACCTAAGAAACAAACCAGATTGATAGTTCTTGCAACGTTGTAGTCATTTGTTGTCAAGCCTAAATCATCAAGAATGTTGTCACTTAGTGCTTGAGCTATGTTGGCTCTGTCAAAGTCCAAAGCGGTGAACATGATATATGCCCAAAAGGTAACTCTCCAGTCACATTTCCAAATAACTTTGCGCTCCTCTTCAGGAGTCCATGTGAAGATGGGATCAAACAGATGACGACACTCATACTGGGCCTTTTCATAAATATTGGTGTAAAATTTGACATTCTCAGCATCCTTGAATATGTGGTACTCGCTAGATGAAAGCGATTCCTCATCAAAGTCCAACTGACGAGTACTTTCCTCGACATTACTCTTGACAACTTTGCCACTCCCACGAGAGTCTTCACTACTGATGGATGACATGTTTGGGTATAACGATCCTCAGATGGGGAGTGATGGATTGAGGTTGTGGATTATTGTGTTGTTATTTATACAAAACGTCTCGTCGAGTATTGTTATTAACCATATTGGAAGCTTCACAGTTTCAGTCACATGTCTGCCACATTGCCACATTGCCACATTTACTAGCTGCTTTAGTTGCCACATTGCTGTATTGTGATGAGTCTTCAAAAAGCTTTTCTGAGAAGCGTTTTGAAGTTGAGCCACTGCAAAACAGTGGCGTAAGACGGCCGTTTATCAGGCGCACCGGTAATATAAGTGGCTGCGTTCAGCCGCAGACGATGTGCTAATATCTCATATGGTGATGTGAACATTTTTCCGTAAACTGGACAACAGCTTGCTATAACAGTGCTTGGAAATACATCACGAGTCCAAGATGGTTAGTATATTTCTGATTTCTTTGTCTTGTTGTTTGAACACTTCACCATCGACTTTGTTCCAAGGTATAGTAGAGCGCCAATACATGCATTAAACCATACATTTAACCTTTTAAGTGGGTGCGCAACATATAGCAAATTCAGATGGTCTATCTATCCCACCTTAGCAGCCACATCATAAAGTGAACTTATAGGTCTATAAGCCAATGATAATCAGTTATATGAGCCTCTTTCGGCATAATACCAATATAAGTTCATATTGCACGTGGCTTTTTGTGACGGATCTCGAGGGCAGCTCAGCCATTTGGCGCACTGAGTTGTGGCAACTCAATCTATCAAAAAGGGGATCAAGAAGCGTTGGCGGTGTTAGGTTTATTACATGTAGATCTAAAACGGCTTTACCTCTAGCAGATCAAATCTCGCAATCTGGCTCTTTACAAAGATCATTTTATGAATTTCTCGAGTCAAATCACGGAAGGACCCAATTATAATCTTTTGAGTCTTTGTTTCAAGCTCATAGGTAAACAATATGTGATGTGTGATCAGCGAATGGCAAAGGTTTCCTCAAAACTTAACACTCCCGTCCTCTAAGATGTAATCTATGGATGGTTCATTAATCCCAATGTGTTCCAAAGCCCGTCGATTTGACAGGAAATGAGGGCTGCGTTGTGATTTATTGACCCGTATGGTAGATGGCAGACAAAGTCTATTACGACACTATTGTTGTATTTAATAAACACTGAATTGAGACTATCAGCTATAGTCGTATGCTGAGAGATCGATGGACAGCTATTGGAATGTATTGGAATTGTTCATGTGGTTAGATTCCTTATTCCATGGATCGTCGGTTAAAATAACTAGCTATCTTTCATTCGATTATTTTTCAAAGTCTGTAAAATTGTGGCTCGTTGCGCAGCTATAACAATTGACCTGGTTAGCAGGGTGTATTGCAATTGGTCAAGTGGAATGATTTAGTTGACACAGACAAATACAATGTACCATATAACACAGTGGAGACTCAAATCTTACGATTCTTTTCAATCCTTTCCCACCCCTTTCCCCAATGTATAAATAACAGCTCTATATCCCTCCCCTTCGTGAAGTTGGCTAAATCACTGTACATCAAGGAGCAATGGCGAGCAGAATCAGTGTCTACACAGCACCAAGTGCCACTCATTTCAGAAAAAGTGAAGACCGTATTGATGAAAAGTCAGGGTTGAAGAAAGTGAGCGAGAAAGAATATAGAACAGTTGACTACCCTCAGTGGCTCCCAACTTGGGACCCAAATGAAAAGTACGATTCTTATCCAGATGATCTCAATAGAGCGTTCAGCGACCGTGGTTTGTTGGCTGATGAGCAATTGAGAAATCTTTTCCCACCAGAAAAAGCTGATGAGGTGAAGGTGAAGAAGCTCAGTCCAAAATTGGGTAGTGAAGTTAGGGGTCTGCAATTGTCCCAGTTGGATGACGCTGCAAAGAACGATTTGGCTCTATTTGTTGCTCAGCGTGGTGTTGTGGTGTTCAGAGACCAAGATTTAAAGGACAAAGGTCTTGAGTTCAACAGACAATTTGGATCATACTTTGGACCTTTGCACATCCATCCTTCATCTGGTGCTCCAGAGGGTTATCCACAGTTTCACATTGTCTACCGTAGAAAGGACCCGACTGAGTATGAAAAGACCTTTAAGGATAGACTAACGGTTAAGGGATGGCACAGTGATGTCACTTATGAGAAATACCCACCTGGAACCACATTCTTTACACTTCTTCAAGGACCTGAAACAGGTGGCGATACAATCTTCAGTGACACCGTGGAGGCTTACAAGAGACTCTCTCCAACATTCCAGAAGATCCTTTCTGGTTTGAAGGGTGTGCACTCCTCTGAGTTACAAGCTCAAGCTTCGAGACGTGAAGGTGGAATTGAAAGAAGACCGCCATCTACGGTTCTTCATCCACTCGTTCGTACCCATCCTGTTACTAAGGAAAAGGCGTTATTCGTTCCGGGGTTTATTGAAAAGATTGATGGCTTGAAGCACGAAGAGTCTGAAGCTATTTTGAATGTTTTATTCGATCATGTCAATAACTCCCATGATTTACAGATCAGAGCAAACTGGGAACCGGGTACGGTTGCTGTTTGGGACAACAGACGTGTCTTACATGATGCAACATTGGATTGGGATTCAGGATCAGTCCGTCATTGTTACAGAATCACACCAATGGCTGAAAGACCAGTTGAAAATGAGGATGAACTCGAAGAGTGGAATCGTTGAATTATCTGGAATAGTTTTTTATGGTTAACAATAAAGTATATACGCTGAATTAGATCAGTAGTTATGAATCAAGACGAGGTGTTTTAACTACTCGTAAAGCCAACATTGATTACAACACTAAGTCAATGTTTTGACTATTCCACGACAGTGAACTTCGCTTGTGACAACGGCCCTGACATCTTCAGCAGGTAAAGTCTAGTACTTGGCTGGGATTTGAGTCTCATTCAGGTCAGCGTAGTAGTGTCCATAGGCACGTTGGAAACTTGCTTGGTTTTACAAGAATTACAACAGGTTGGTATCATAAGGCTTGCACTCGATAGAACCACTAATCAAAATGCGTCTTTCGGGAATGCTCCAAGACCTTCTTCCATAGTCATACTCTTCTCCTGGCAATCTTGAACGTTTTTTATCGTTGGGCATTTCAACAAACTTATATAGAGTCGTGTAATTTCTTACCATGCTTTGATTCAGAGATCGAAGCACTATTAGAGAATTCCTTTGTAGAGCCAACAACAATCCCCTTATTCGGGTTTACTAACTTAGTCAATACAAGTTGATCTGTAGTGCCTCGGTGTGATGAACGCGATTTGGACCTTCGGGATCAACCTGTGCTGCGCGGCCTAGCGGGTATTGACTTCAATGCCTGATCCCTTGTTTAATAGGATGATTTTGAAACTAACAAAATCCTCGCCTGAACAGTCTTCGAAAACTGTAGCATAAGATTTCGTGCATGTAGTCCCAAGCGTGTGTACGGTGTGGATATGTTAAAATGATACTAATTTGAGTCCCGTTAGTATGGAAAAGATTTGTCTCGACCTTTAGTTATTAAAAGAACACATCTCAAAGATAAAACAAACACTCTTGCACATAGTATTGATAAAAGTAGACTCACATGTAGATCTCTCCCTTATACTTACTGAGATTGAAGTATTTTCTGCTGTTATGTTTCTGCACACCAAGGCAAACACTTTAACCTCTGGTAACAAAGAAGTACGATGTTCTAAATTTGTTGGTGCTATTGGTTCAATATTCGCAAATTCAACGGTGGTTTCTTCTCAGGACAATCACATCTCTAATTGCCTTATAGGTTTACAGAAGCTGTGTATAGCGATTGTGTTGAGAGAGGAATTCACCAATCTTGCCGATGCAGTCCTCAGGTATATTGGGTTCTTTTTCGTTTTGAACATCTTTAAGCAATTCAAGATGACGATTTGTAGCTAAGCCTGGATCTAGTACATAAAGTTCTGCAAACTTATCTTGAGCACTTTCGTGAGCTATCGCACTATCAACACTATGGAATAAACGTCCGTTGATAGTCATTGAATAAGTCCCCTCTCTCGAATCAACAGTACTGTTAGAAACCAGAATGATAAACCAAGGAATGGTATTAACTGGTCGAGAATAATTGGAGGTGATTGGACCCAATAATATATTATTCATGTACTTTGGAGGTTCTTTCAATACCTCACCGAGTGAAACTTTCCCCAATCACGACAAAAGGATGGTAATTCAGTATAGATATGAAGGTCATGGCAACCGCAACACTTTTCAAGACCTGGATTATACACCGAGTTATGTGGCCTCCTCTGTTGTTGTTGGTCATAAACTGGATCATCATTCTCATTACAACCATTGGCATCATTCCCAATGATGTGTTCAAAGTCGGTATCATGGTCAAAACACCACTACAGTTTAAGTTTTCTAATAATCCTTGCTATATTTCTTGGTCCATCTCTTATTCTATAAGCCATAGTTCCATTATCAAGTTCAGGTTCAGGTACTGGCGGCTGTTGTGGTAAATCTGTAATCTCTGAATGTGTATTCTATAACAGAATTTGGAGACCCATGGCTCTGTATCTTGTTCTCAGGACAGGTCAGTCAGTATGTCTCAATAATTACTGCGTCTTCTTGTTGTGTCGTACCTCCATTCGTTTCAAGTTACCGCTGTGCTTCTGGAATAGCCGCTGAGGTTTCTTCTTCAGATTGAGGACGTCGTGGACATCACAGGGAAGAGAACTGTATAAAAAGCCAACAAATTTCAACTCCTTGTTCCTTTGTTCCCATGATTTCACCCCTTTAGGAGCAAAAATGTCAATTGATTACGCCAAAAGACGTGAGACCCAGTGTAAGTGACCCCAGATGTATTTAAAAGATGAGAAGCTATCTAACTACTGTTCTTTGTTTGTAAGTATTCAGTGCAACAGGTAATCGTATAGTGAGCGGTTGTGTCTGTGTGAATGAAGCTGGAGATAGTGTACTCCTGATTGGCTCGTCCCGTCACAACAACGACAGATGGGTATTACCAAAGGGAGGTGTTGACATTGCTGAGGATGATGACGGTGACTATGTGAAAACTGCGATCAGGGAAACGTGGGAAGAAGCTGGTGCTACAGGAACCATTGTTAGAAAGTTGGAAGTGATTCCAGATCAGAGATCACCGGCTGAATGGGCAAAAGGTTCCATGAAGGACACTAATGGCATCTTGATGAACCCACCGAAATCGGAATTTCACTTCTACGAGATGAAGGTCGAGAAGCTACATGATGAATTCCCAGAAAGTGCAACCAGGAGAAGAAAGTGGTTCACGCTTCAAGATGCAGTTAGAAGTTTACTATGGAATCAGAGACCGGAACTCGCAAAGGCAGTTCAGCAGGTGATGCTGAATAGTCGTGCTTGAGCAAAGAGGGGGCAACAGTCTTATCTGCCACCTGGGAACCCACTCAACAATTCAATCCAAATTTCCAACCCGCGATTTATAACAATGATATAATATGTGATACTTTATTTCTGAAGACTTTCATGGCGCTTGAAGCGTAGACAACATCCAAGAATAGAGCTTAAAAAGCCCAACACCATGTTCCCATGTAAGATCAATATACGGAAAGCTGGAATCTCCCCTGAGTGTCTAGGAATTAATGGAGAATTTCCCATTTTCCCATTTCAAAGTTGTTTAGGAAGAGCAACAGCTTGCACCATCTGCAACGTCAACCACTGTTTTAATGCAGTTAGATGAAGAGCTCTAATAAAGTGGGCTTTTAGCAAGCTGCACACCCGTAAATTTAAGGGCAGAAATTCTCGTTTAAAGTTCTGTCAAATATGCACACTGAGAAATTGCCGCTGCGACGCCGGACCTTTGTTTTGTCCTTCATTGTGTCCCGACACGAAAAAAAAAACCAAAATTGTGCGTCTAAATGTAGAAATTGTTGCCCAAAAAGGTGCCCTTTTGTAGACTTTTGTAGACTTTTGTAGACTTTTGTAGACTTTTGCGCCAAATGTGGAATTGCGGTCAGGGCACAAAAAGGCACAGCAAAATGACAACAACACTGATCTGTGGCAGGAAAAGTGTCCGATATGGACAATGCAAGCCTAAAATTTAAAGCCCTTTCACAGGGAAAGCTTTACGAAGTATACAACGGACATTTGACAAGCGCCTTATCTCGCTCGTATTATCCACTATCTTGTCCGGAAAGGGACAAGATCTTCTCAATGAGCCAGTGTAGACCATCCACTCACCACCACGCGTCCCTCAAGCAGCTGTGTATTTTACCACCTTGATTAGGCACGCATGTAACCACGAAACACATCGCTGAGTTCATCGACATCTACCCAAAGAACCACTCGAAAATTGTCACATCTTGTCCTCAGTTCATTTTGTTTCTCCCTAATCCACCAGTGTTTGGCCTTCCATTGCCAATTCACGAGGATACGCCTCTCGAGAATGACTGAAGACTACACGATCAAGACGTGCACCGGCTGCGGGACAATAAAACACACACTGCCTCTGACCGACCGCACCTTCTGTTGTGCCTCGTGCAAACCTGTTTGTCGACTACCACATCAACGGTGCGCGCAATATCCTCATCAAGTGTCTTGTCGCATCTCAATAGACACACACACAAGGAGTGCGTTCATGGACCTCTAAAATCACTACCTCTGTTCGGCCTCTAAGGAGCACAGAAATGTATGATCATGGACGTGCACCAATTAGCACTTCATTCGTGGAGATGCCAACCCCCACATTAATTACAGAATAGCCGATAACCGTCCTTCTACGGAGGGAAGAAAAATAGAAAATAATTCTAATTCGTCCGTATCTAGTACCTAAAGTTATTAAGGCCAGGAGGATGTTCATGTCCAATCATTGCATCATTCTTCTTCCTCAACAGTCTTCCGAACTCTTACTTTTAGTAATGCTAACAAAAATGTACTAACAGCAAGCAGACATCCGTTGTAAATAATGCAATTTTGATGGTCAGTGGGTAACCCACCAGTGGATATCAGCAGACCAGCTATGGGTGAGCCCAAGAAGTTACCAATACCTCTAAAGAAGTACATCAAACCACTCATGCTCTTGTAATTTTTGATTCCAAATATTTCACTCAAGCATGTAGGTAGAAGAGATATAATTGCTCCAGAGAATACGCCATAAAGGACAACAAACGCTATAAATGTGCCTCGTAGACTAATCAGCCAGAAGACAAGCACACATAGAGTACTCATGAGATTGCAAATTATGATCATGTTCAACCTGCCAATGTACCTATCTGCTAAGAATCCCAATATCACTTTGAATGTAGCGTTGATCCCGTTGTTTACTGCAATAAATACAGTTCCCTGTGTTGCACTAAAACCTAGCGTTTCTCCATAGGTTGACATATAATTCAGACTTATCAAGTAACCTGCACTCTGGAAGAACCCTGCAAACAGCTGAGTATACAAACTTATAGGATCAACGCTCATCAATCTAACGTCGAACACTTTTTTGAGGGACGATGTTGGATTTGCCGATTGTAACGAAGAATGTTGATTCACCAGTACGCTGGATCCTCCTGTCATGACGATACTGATAAAGGCTAGGATGCGCAAACTCCATCGCCATCCTAGATGGGAAATGAGCGTTCTTGTGATGGGACCCAACACCAATGCACCAGCACCGGTGCCTGAAAACAAAATCCCCAAGGCCACTCCACGGTGACGGGTGAAGAAAGGTGGGGCACAAACAACTGGTGGGATGTATGTGAAGGAAGCACCAATACCAAACAGTAAACCTTGACTCAAGATAAATTGATAGGCATTATCGGCTTGACAAAAACTGGCAGCTAATAAACCAAGACTCATCAGCATAGCACCAATAAACATAACAACTTGAGGTGACTTGAGGTAGTTCATTGCAGTATTGAAGAAAATTGCACAACAATACGTTGTTGCTGTGGCAGTGGTACCAATCATAGACACCACAGCATGAGAAGTGTTAACCAACGGCCCTTTGTCAGAGGTGTAAAACTCCTGAAAGACACCAAACGTGAATCCAATCCCAAACACAACAAAATTCGCAACAAAACCTGCAATGACTATTGCAATTGCCTGATATTGTGGCGGGACTTGTGGGATAAACGCAGCTAGCATAGTTGACTGTTGAGACATATCTTCAAGCAAAAGAGTGGTCCATCACCGTGAGCATCACTTGGGGGAGTTTATAAATATTTCAAAGACCCGGGGCTTCTCTGGTTTAGGAACTCTGCATTGCGGAGTCTCCAAAGCTCGGTCATCAACTTGGAGCCACCGGGGTTGAATGCTCAAGTTTGCTTCAAATGAGTGACACTGCTGGAACGAGCCCTGCCGATTTGACTAACAACACATCATAACAAAGAGAGTGAAGCGCTGTGTCATAACAAGACAATTGCCTTGCGTCATCGGTGGCGGCAAACCACAAAAGTCCCCAGTTCTGCGCGAACCAGAATAATTGATCCGGGTGACATGGACGCTAATCCGGCAGCCTACAGAGGGCACGTTTTCACAAAACAACGCCCAAAGAGCCCACGAGCTGTTACCCAATGGAGGTCGTTCACACGCGTACAGACTCTTAAAGTTTGCATGTGATAATGTGGTCAACGACGTGTTGCTGAACACAACAGCTGTATGCCAGCACTGTGGATGGCAGAACGAGTTGCAAGCTTCAACAGTTTATAGCTTGCAAATGATAACGAGTCATCTCTCCTTATGATCCAGCAACGTGTCTCAGTTCGCAACACTGTGCAAGAAAATTCAAGGTGCACGGGCTTATTTCCACATAAGCAGCGTGGAATTGGTATCCAGTGGAACTTTAAAGTTCGAACGTGGTTGCATACTTACGTTTTTGGCTCAGACTTCCCGATGAACATTATTATATAAATTCAATCATGGTACCCACATGTGTTTCAGAGGCGAGCTTCCCATTCACATTCCATAACGCAGTGAACAATGGATTACGAAAAACAAGCTGTCATCAGGGAAAGAGAGGACAGCCTTGATACTGGATCGGATTCTTTCTTACAAGACAACACCGCTGTCGAGACCAACGATGCCATTCTTGCAAAGAAGATCCATCTGATAAACAATGCCATTGATGAAATGGGATTCACATGGTATCATGCAAAGCTCTTTTGTATTGCAGGATTTGGATATTCTGTTGACTGCCAAATGGAAATGATCCAGTCTGCTGTTAGAACCTACGTCGGTTATCAAATGGGAGTGAATGGGTTCCCAATTGCCAACGAGATTTTCTCCGCTGGTATGATCTGCGGTTGTGTATTCTTTGGCTTCGGTTGTGACATCATTGGACGAAAGATCGTTTTCAATTCTTCCATTCTCCTGACTTCGATCTTTGGTTTCTTTGCAGGAGGTATGAGCAGCTATGCCACCTACTGTATCTTTATGTTCTTATCTGCATTTGCATCTGGTGGTAACACTGCTATTGACGTATCAGTGTTTATGGAGTTTGTTCCTTCGAAATACCAATACCTCAATACAATGCTTGCCCTGTTCTGGGGTGTTGGACAGACCATCTCTGCGTTGATCTCGTGGGCATTCATCCCGAACTTTTCATGCGAGGGTCCTGAAAACTGTCCTTCTCATCTCAACAGAGGTTGGAGATACTGCTGGTATGTCAACTCTGCAATTTGTTTCTTGGCCGCTCTCATTCGGATTTTCGTCATGAAGTTAGACGAAACTCCCAAATTCCTAGTTGCCACGGATCGAGATGCCGATGCAATCAGGGTCCTGGAGAAGATCGCTGTGAAGTATAACCGTCCACTTTCTCTGACACTGGAAGATTTGGAATCATGTGGCACCATTAATAAGGACTTCTTCGACTCTAATAAGGATGGTTACAGCATCAGAGCTCTGATGAGCGCTGTGAAAGTCAACCTCAGACTTTTATTCCAATCGAGAGTCATGATTAGATCCACTCTTTTGGTTTTCTTGTCATGGGGCTTCATCGGTATCTCATACTCAACTTTTTACTACTTCCTCTACGTATTCATTGCTGCCCGTGGTGGTGATACCGGCTCATCCCCATACTACGTTTACAGAAATGCCACTATCGCAAACTTTGTCGGCATTTTTGGACCTATACTTGCAGGGCTTTTGATCATGACAAGATTTAACGTATTTAACCGTGAATTTTGTTTGAAGAGAAAGGGAACAATGATCTTTGGTGCCCTTGCATCTATGGCAATCTTGTTTGGGTACACTACTGTTAGAACTCCAAACGCGGATGCTGGGTTTGGTGCTGCCACCTACTTCTTTGTGAACATTTACTATGGAACTTTGTACGCATATACTCCAGAAGTGTTCCCAACGAAGGCAAGAGGCACCGGTGTTGGCTTCTCCATGCTTATCTGCAGAATATTCGGTGCATTTGCTCCAGTTATCAACTACTTTGGAGGGAAAACTGGGACCTCGGTTCCTATTTGGGTTTGCGGCGGACTTATTGGTTGTCTTTCAATCCTTACAGCACTGATGCCATTTGAACCTTCGCTTCAAAGATCAGTTTGAAGAATAAATAACTTAGGATATGTACTTTTGTGTGTCAATGTGTACTTGTGTTTAAACTAATTGAGAGATCTTTTCAATACAGGATTCTCTTGTACTTGGACTCAAGCCTCCAGATAGGTATTGGAGGAAGAGAACCTTGGAAACAATTGGTTCTTGGACTCGACCCAAAGTTTCAAGTTCACCGGTCTTTGTATTTTCAAAGTAGAGCTGCAATTGGCCGTCGCCTAGTCTTTCCAAGACAAGGTTACTGTTTTTTGCAACGGATCCTTTGCGGAGAAATGCCTCCTTCAACTGCTGCAAACCTTTATCCAAAGTTTCGTCTTGGACTTTAGCAGCCAAAATGGACTTCACCAGCCCATCTCTGAGATGGTTAAAATCGGTGTTTCTAATTGGTGTAATTCTAGCAACCAATCTGATATTTGAGTCCAACAAGTTTGAGACGAGAACCTTGGATTTCTCCTTGTCATTCAGAGCTTTAAAGACATTTTCTCTGTGGCTCTTTGTAGAATCAGTGTCAATGAATGCACTTGACAAGAAGTTCGAGTCCAAAACCGTTGGTATTTTGTTGAGATCCTGAACAGCGGCGTAAATACCCAGGGCGTACACTTTGAAACTGACAAACGTCACAGATCTAACACCGGTACCGAGAACTGTATAGTCAGTACTGTATTTGAGATTTATTGGAAACGGATCAACAGCATTATCGACCGCAATGGAATTGGTCAATTCCTTGATCTTATCATCCAAGGTGATGGGCTTTGAAATCAACAGCCCACAGGTGGCCAGAGAAGCTCCCAATAGCACTCTAGCTGTGCCACTGCTTCTAAACGACTGGATGAAACGTTTCGTGAACAAACGAGCACTAAAGAAGGACATTTCACCGTTACTGTTGAAGTGATAGAGTGATTATGTGTAAAGAAGGGAGCGAAATGATGATTGCCTTTAAATGTCCTCAGGTTACCTTCTCATCGGACCATTGGATGAAAATCTATGGATGTCACGGGTTTTGCGGTCTTATCGGAGCGTTGAACAAACCCGTACATCCAAACATCCAAACCGCTCATTGTCATCACCTCAGAAACCAAGTTCCTTTTGTGGTTAACTACTGCCAGCCAGGCTTCCCTTTCATCACAAAGATCCAATGTAAAGATGAATTTACTCACTTCCTACAGTGTGTTCCAATAATGAGATATCCCCGTGGTATTATCAAATAGCTATAATGTCAATAATTGCTCAATCGTCGAGATCTTTGAATCATAACTCGTCCAGGTATGTCGGAGGTTGTCGTTTGCTCCCAATAGTACAGAGTACTAACTGAACCGAGTAGAACGTACGTGGAGTCCATTCCAGCCACTTCAAGATCTGTTCCAAGTCTTGAATGCCCAACGATAAGCAATGTTCCTTTGACCAAGAGCCATTTCCTCGACGCCTACAGTAAGGCGAAGTGGAACCTCTCTGACGTGCCATGCCCACCGTGTTTTAAAGGTGTTGAACTAATGTGCCCACCAGACCATTACAACGAGGCATCAAGGTTGAAAGCAGTCAAGAAGTACATGAGCAACGAACAGTGGCGGGACTCGACCAAATTCCAAAAGATCATATCCATGGCTTTGAAACAGTTCCACGTGAAAGGTGCCTCTATATCTCTTGTTGATGCTAAAAGACAGGTCATAAAATATGAGGCTTCTTTGCAGGTCAACGATTGTCCTAGAAGAATCTCAATTGATGCACACACAATATTATCTAATGGTTCATTTGTTCTCCTGGATGCGTCAAAGGATTGGCGTACCAGCACGAACCCTTTTGTCACAGATTCGCCATATGTTCATTTCTACGCAGGTGTTCCACTTGTTACAAGTTATGGTACTATCATCGGTGCCTTGGCAATATTTGATTGCTATCCAAGGAACAACTTTGACGAACTGGCTCTATCGATGTTGAAAGATTTGGCATCGCAAGTGATGACTATTCTAAACACCCCCGTATCCCATTCCTTGCCAAAAGCTGTAACTTCCAACACTGTTCCCTTGATTAAGATGATTGGTAGACCAACGAGTCATAAGCACGCTTTCTCGAACATTGCCTTATACGAACGAGACGGCTCTGGTAGTCAATACGGCCAAAATCATAACTTCATGTACAACAAACAAGAGGCGTCATTACTTCAGAATGACTTGTTCCTCACAGATGACATATTACACAGGTTAATTGGATACCGTGACATAAGGACCGCTTCTGTCAAGCTATGTGAAATCATAAAGACAGAGTTGAAGTTTGACTTTGTATTTGTTGTGGAACTTCGGACATCGCAACAATTCCAAATATCACCAAAGTACTTTCCTCAGTGTAACGTTGTTAATGCGGAATCCTTTGATAAAGCCAAGAAGCTAATTGGAAAGGAGAAGCAGCAGTTGAAAAGTCGTATCTTGGGATTCGCAGGTGGGAGTGAGTCAGATATGCCATTAGACTCGGAATTTTTCTATGGTGCTCTACGTTCAGAGTTTGGTATCTTTTATGAGGCTGTACCAACACACGCCTCGGTGAAGCTACACTCTGGAATATGCATGCAGTTCTACAGGTTTGGTTCAAAACTTGTTAGAAGGGTTAAAGTCCTCAAGGCTGAGAGACCAAGTAGTAAGAACAAACCAATCGATGTCTACTTGAGATCTGGTGGATATTTGATTGCTGCTTTCAACGATGAGGAGCGTAGAATTGATGATTCACTGATCAACTTTATATATGGAGCTTCATGTTCACTTCGTCGACTCTTCATTGCGAATTAACAGGAGTCTTTTGTTCTCTTTGTTACTGTTTAGTTTGTAGTGTAAGGAAAACAGAGAGCGCGCACGTACAAGAGCCATGGTGAAAAAAAACAGTAATGTAAACATCAACAAAGATCAAAACAAATGCCCAGAGGGTACGTCATCAATGTTTGCCGCCCTGAACGTTAGCGAGGAAGTGACAGCGCTTGATGCAGAAGAACACACAAGGGAATTACAAGTGCGTTTGTGATGGTTTGATGGCTCGAGTTGTGGCTGTTTGTGCTGATAGATACTAACATTTCTAATAGATTGAAGAAGGATTCAAGGTGTTCCAGCAAGCGTTGAAACACCAGAAGAATTGTTCATTTGATGAAGCGAAAGAACTATACAAAGAGCTATTCCGCATAGATATAATCTCAAACGAGCTGGTTACGTCCCCTTTGATTCGTACATTACGTTACCTTGCACATCGAAACCGAGGGCTGTTGTACTTTGATGAGCTTAGGAACAAGATAGACACAATTGATCCCCTGGAGGCTATAAAGATATTGGATAATTCGGTAGAGGATCTGGTAAACTCACTGGTTCATAATGATGGAGATAACAATATAATCAATCTCTTGATTGCCATCTTCAAACTCTTTGGTAAGGAGAGACTGTCACGCTTCACTGTGGAGTACGAACTCACCAAGGAGGACAACGAGGACGTTATAATCAATGTCAATACGAGAATGAATGCACCAGTACTAAGACCTTATCTAAAAGAGCTTACCTTGATCAAGGACAAATTATCATACAAATCTGAAAATGTGGAGTCCACGTTCAAGTTGCCCGATGTTAGCTTTTTGCAAAGAGTGAAGAAATACCTCGATGAGAGACAACAGGATGCTACAATTGATCGAAAGAAATGTATCGAACTCAGCGAGTTGAGTGTTAAGGAGATCTTGTCTGCTCTGTCTTTGCCCTTATCAAGGTCAAAAGCCAAGTACCAAAGGTTTATGGATGCGTATCAGCTTAGAGAGGATATAATTGTTGATTTCAAATTCGAAATACCAGAGGATATTTCCCCCAAATCAACACTTGAAGCTACTGAGATAAAATCTGATCATAATGTGGAAGAAGCGAAACGCCAGTGTACAGATGAAGTTCAACAAAGAGTAAGTAAGAGAACGAAAACTTCTGACGATGATCCGGTCAGTAACGATTTCCTCTCTTATGGCCAACGGTTTCTTTCTGCTGTTGGATCGTTGCTCGGACAGGACATCAGATACCCGTTGACGGGTGAACTTGCAGCTGCATCTGGTGACTTCGTGGTGCTGTTAAATAATTGGAATCAAAAATGTTCAATGTTTTTGTTGGATTCATCTCAAGATCATGATGATTTATCCATAACTGAAATCATCAATTCAAATTCCGCCAACGAGAAAAAAATAACGAATGACATTGATGAGACTTCTGCTATGAAAGGTATCAAAGAATTTGTCGAAGATATCAACAAGACATCTTATTCTTATTCTGAAGTACGTATCAAGTTTCTTCAATTCTTTATGTCAAAATTTGACGGTGGTGGTTCGTTGATTGAGAGGTACTTTCTTGGTCCTGGATCGTACGCTATAATTGAGGGTCTGGTCATAGCGGTTGAGGATCAACTTTTGGATATAATACCAATGGTTTCTGTACTTGAAGTTCTGTTAGAATACCTGTTAAGGTTGAAACTAGAGTCAAAGACTAAGGGAATCAATGGGAAACAGCTTCAAGACATTGAATTTTCCATATTGCATGTGGACAAGTGCTTTTTGAAATGGCTAAAACACCTTGAAGAGGTTGAATTGGAGGATAAAGATCAGCTTCGGCTTAAATGGTGCAAACTCCTGTATATCCAACATTTGCCAAAGTTTGATCTAGAATTCCTACAGGACGAGCTTTCACTTCTTGTTGAACGTTGCGAAATAGTTTTGGATAAGGATGTCATCTCCTTTGTGAATTTCAATTTTATCCCTTCATTGTCTACAAAGAGTATTAAATCCCAGAAAGACAAAATCGATCTTATTACGACTTTTGAAAAGACCTTAAACAGCAATGACGGAGACAACGCCGAAAGTGAAGAGCTCCTAGAGGCTCTTCTACTCGATTCTTCGCCAAAGGCATCTTTAGTTGCCCCACCTTCAATGAAGAAATTGGTAAATGAGAGTGGCGTTGGGCCACAACTACGACTTTGGAAAACACTTTTGAGATCATATGCCAAGCGTCTTGACTACAAAAGTTACACAACGGCACTGTTCAAACTGTTTGGGTTTTTATTGAAACGCATCTCAGGTGATTCTTACTCTTCCCTACCAGAAGTTCAAAGAACCCAAACTTTACTTACAGTTTTGGGATCCATCGCAAACTTCCTAGAAGAGCTGCTTTCAATGATGGCTGAATGCAATTGGAACAGCTCTGGGATGGATCAATCTTTAATGCCAGTGGCCATTTCCATATTCGAAATTGTATACCCATTTTGTTTGCAAGAGGTTTCCAAGACTGACACGAAACCGCGTTTTGTTTTAAAGTTGAGAGACCTTATCCTGAATGTGTTGTCCCTTATAATTCTTCTCAACAATGAAAAGGATGATACATCTATCGAAGTGTGCATCGATCTATTAAGTGTGATTCACGAAGAAATTGGACGATTGAAATTCTGTGATGCCTCTTCAGGTAAGTTCTTACAGCTATCTCAAAACATGCTAAAGACTGCAGATCCAACGAAGTTTGAATATGACATTCTACAGCATCTCAACTGTCGGTTCCATATATCTATCTCTTCAGAGAACTTCACGCCATTTGATCATGGAACATCCAAAGTCGAGCTTGACATTACTTCTTCAATTCAGTTCAGCAATTATTTATTCAGTGTGCTTTCAAAGAAAAAGGACCCCCTTGTTTCAATTCCCAAGCCTGACCTCAAGAGCGCGCTTGACTCGTTCTATGAAGCAATCGGTGATCCAGACCTTGAAGATTCGTATATTTTCCACAATAAGTCGGTTTTAGATCAGTTTCTTGCTCAACCTCTTGATTTACCAGTATTGAAAAGTGCATTTTGCGGGGACCTTTCTCTCGAGCTCAGAAGACTAAGAGGAGAAACCCAGAAGATCATAAGTCAGGGTCTATACTATCTGGAAGCTGCTGCTAATTTGAATATGTTCAAAGCGAGAAAAAAACAAGCACAGGGTAAGGTATCAGATCTCGAGAACGTTGTAAAACAACTGACTTCGGACTTGCTTTCAGGAACAAATCGTATGGAGACTTGGCTCCTGCTCGGTGAGGCGTACTCTTTACAGGTTGAAGATGATCTTACATGGACTTCTGACAAGTTGAACTCTTTGGAAAAGAAGAATGCAGTTGCTACAACACAGAAAAAATCTATTCTCTGTTATTCTGTTGCTTTAAGTATGTTTCTCCAGCAGAATACATCTATGAATTCAACAGGCGCTAGAATCTGCAATTTGTTTTCGAAAGAACTTTATCATTCATTGATGAAACCTCTTGACAAGTACGCGTTCTTGGGCACAACAGAGAATTCACTCCTGAATGTTAATGAAATTATAGCCAAGAGAACCACATTGGACGATAGGAAGGCCAATATTGTCATCAAATTGGCTCTAAAGCTGATTAAGATGTCATTGAACTACGATCAGTCATCATGGGTAAGCTACTTCTATTTGGCAAAAGTTCTCCATAAGCTGCACCAAAACCCTCTCAAGATTATTAACGCTTCACTTAAATCATGCTCACTGAATTATGGAATCATTGATTCTGGTTATCAGCTGTGCTCTTTCATTCACAAATACTACACAGCTGGCATGATAACTGAGAGTAAAGGTGCTGATAAGCTTAAAGAAGCCAAACTCTTTTCCGATTTACCTGCCCCGGAAACTTTGGAACATGGTTTGTCAAGTTTACTTATACTGGCACTAAGAAGGCTTATTTCATTAGATAAGAAGAAATGGCATCATAGACCTAAGTACAGGATCGCAAAGATTTATTGCGAACTTGGAGAGTATCGGAAAGCAGCGGACGAAATGGAGACATTTGTATTACTGAAATCCATGAACAAAAGTTTGATAAACATCTGGAAAACTGATATGGAGGCACCAGGAAAGCACTTTGTCTATACATATCAGTATTGTCTGTTTTATATCAACATTTCTGGACATCTCTGTGATATAGAACGTCTCTCGTTGTTTATCAAAAAGCTGCGTCGGTTTGGTGCCAGTATCATTGATCTTCCTGATGCATGGGATAAGTCCTGTAATAAGATATGCTATCTAATGAGACAACTCCTCCATGTGGACCATGGATACACAGATGTTGAAGTTCCCAAACTACTCTACTCTGAGTTTATGGTCCGCCAACAAAAGCTTACAGACATGCTGGAAAACAACCCCCTTTCTGATACTGATATTTTCTTCATTGTCCTTCTTTATGAAATTTCTGAGGTTCGAAGAATGAACAATGGTTTTGGAGCTACTTCTCTGATTGATGATACTTTGAATGCAGTTTATCTCAAGTATTATTTACGGAAGCTGGATGACCAACCAGAGCTTCAAGTCACTGCATCTGGACCACCCGACCCTTCGGTCAAAACCAAAGTGGCTAGAAGAGATATAATCACTGCAGCCACAACGATGTTAAAGAAATTGGATACTAAAATTAAAGATTACAAGATTGCTGAAGATGGCCATTTCAAGATTCCTGAGGACATGATCACTGAATTGAGATCGCTGGACGTTTCTCCCGTGGCTGCAGACGTCACTGCCTCGCCGCGCTCTGACAAAGGCCTGACGTCTTCTCCAAACGAAAGGGTTGCGCCAGCTACACCTTCAGTCGATGCTGATAATAACGTTCAAAGTGAAGAAGAAACATTCCACACACCACAAGCAACACCAAGTAAATTATTACCCAAGTAAAGAATAAGGATATTTTTTATTGAGTCTCGTATTGTAGATGTATATATCAAAAGGTATTTATCATTTGGCATGAGAAAGGTGTATGTTGAAGAATTGTCTGGCCTTGACCTGTTCAGGTGTCAGTGAGACATCACCATACGTAATTGGGGCGTAGAAGATGAAGAAACCAATAAGAACCACAGAGAACACAAGGACTGCAATGTTCAAGTTTCTTCCTCTTCCAAGGAAGAACTCTGCAATCGCACCAGTTAAGAGTGCTGCCAGGAGATGAGCTGGTAGATAGTGGTGCAAGAACTTTTGTCTGGTCATTAAGAAGAAGAAGACGTAATGCGACAAGTATCCAATATACAGGAAGCCGATATCAGCTAGTCTGTTGACTTGAGCAGGAGTGAAAATTTTGATTCTTCTCTGCTCTGCAAGCTTTGCGCCAATATAGACACCTGCAAAAATGACCATTACCAAAACTTCAGTCCACCATCCGACCAAGTTACCGATGAAATAGATTTGCAATTTCTTATCTGAATTTGTCCAGAAGCTGACTCCAGATAAGGACAGAGGCCAGCTACTTGGGTCAGATGCGAATGGATGTTCACTACTCAACTTGTTATTGTGAGAAAACATCAGGAATTGCAACTCCCACCATTTGGTTAAGAATGGGAGTGTTTTGACACTCTTTGGCACATAAAACTGACGAGCATCGTTGAGGCCAACAATTTCATCAAAGATCCATGAGTTCGAGCTAGCAGTCGTATCTTTGTTACCGTTAACTTCGTATTGGTTAAATGCCCAATCTGGTAAAGTAACATCATCATGGGTCCAAAGAGCAACGTTTGTATCCTTGTGAAGAATTCTGACAACAGAGCCCTTTGTCTTGATAATACTTCTTGACTTAGCTCTATCAGCAGGCAACAATTTGAACAGAGTCTCGTTGAATCTGTTCTGCGCAACTTCTCCCTTGACAGTAGTGAACTCCTCGTTTGTTGGATACAATGGAGACGCAACGTCGTGTGCAAGCATGTACGAATCCGTGCCAACATGGTAGAGTCTCACAATATCGTCGATTCTAACAGCATGACCGAGTTTTGACTCTTCTGGGAAATCTTGTGGTGGTAAGATTATCCATTCGTTATTTGGGTCAGTGCCGTTAAACGCAGTGACCTGTTGACCCTTAGAAGAGACACGTCCATCTTCGTAACGCAGTGGGTAGAAGGCATCATGAGAGTGCAAGAGCAACTCTGTTTCCTTGTGTTTCAGAGTGATGGTGTCGTAGTAGTTAACTTGTTTGGCAGTAGCTGCCAATGGTGAATCACCAAGGGTTTCCTGGAACGTTGAACTCATAAAGGCGTCACCTGTACCTGATTTGGTCAACACGGCAAAGTGGACGTAGAACCAGAACAAGTAGATGATGAATGGCAGAACGATCAGCCCGTAGAATCTTGCGACAAAGTGTCTAGAAACTTCCCTGACGGTCAACCCGCTCTCGATGTCGAGCAAATGCCACAAGTCAATAATCACAGCAAATCCAATAGTTAGGAAAGTGAATACACCAACATATTTGGTCGAAATGACACATGACAATGCGACACCTGTCAATGCCAACCATTTCCACCAGGTCGTGGTGAATGCCTTTTTCAACTGTTCGTTTCTGAATCTAACGTATGCGTAGATGGAACAAGCAACGGAGAGCAACAGGGTAGCATCCAACAGAATCAATCTTGTCTCTGTCACATGTGCATTGTCAAACAACACGATAAATGAGGCCAATGAGGAGGCTGCGATTGAATAGTCCAACTGTCTCATCGTCAAGAACAACACTGGCACGGTCAACGAGCCCTGGATGGCCTCCAGGGAACGATAGGCCAAGTACGGAGCCTGGTTGGTGATGTACGAGTCACCAATCTTGTCGAACTTGAAAGCGCCGTCGTAGCCAACGAGGTACCCGACTCCTGCAATCAACAACTTCGCAAACGGAGGGTGTAGATCAAAGAAGTAGGTGCGTTGCAGATAGTACGACGCAAACTTACCAAAGTGCACCTCGTCAAACACAACCTCGTTCGGAAACCAGATCTTGTAGAATCTCGTGAAGAACGCCAGCGCTGTTATCACAGACAATGCAATCACCTCGTGGCGTGGGTCTTCCCTCTTCAATGGCGCTTCCTCCTTGCCGCTCAACACAAATTCAACCTCATCTTGTGCCTGGGACCGAGACTGAGGAGGCGACGACGAGGACGATGAGCTCTTCTTGGAAGAATTGACGTTCCTCTTACGTACCGAGGACATGTTTCTGTCTCTGTTTGCTGTTCTGTTGCCTATTTAATACTCAACGGTGTGCACCAGAGGAAGAAAACAGCGCTTTGTCGACGAAGCGCCGTGTTGAAAACACGCTCTTTGTGTACTCGTGTTCATAATCGCATCAACTGTTTTCGCCGTTAGGGGCCGCACATTCCTGCCTAGCCCGCGCGCGCGCGCTGGGCGGGCCTGGCTGGCGGGCCTGGTTGGAGCTTGACGAGGTGATGGAACACATTATACGTGAACACTTGGGCAGGGTGGGTTTGGAGGCTGTGAGAGAGGAACTGAGGGCAATGATATACCGACCAGTGTTGATTAGAAGCGTTGCGACGAGTGCCAGAAAGGTGGCGGCGAAGCCGACGTCCACGGTGAAGGCGGCATCGAGGAGTACGCCGTCAGCAGCGGCTACCAGGACGGTGAAGGCAGCTGGCGGCACTACTGGTGCTGGTGTTGGAAGTAGAACTGTGCCGGTTAAGGCCAAGGTTGTGGAAGAGGAGGCAAGTGTGGAGGAGGACTTGCCCTTCAATCCGCCGGAGTTCAATCTCCAGGTTGGACAGTCCCAGCGAGACTTGGATACCAAACCATCAGGTTTGAAGTCCAAGAAGCTGGATGACTTGTTCAGAGGGACGCTCCATGATAACCCTGAACACGATTCTCCTGCTGTCTCGTCTACAGCGGGTGGTGTTGATATACCCTGGTCGACGTCGTACTATGGGCTGGGCTCTGCTCCGTTCAGCAAGGAGACCCAGGAGTTGTTATCAGAGAAGGTTGACGTTACAGATATTGAAATCAAGCCAGATGGGTTGATATACCTACCGGAGATCAAGTATCGTCGTATCCTCAACAGGGCGTTTGGAGCTGGTGGATGGGGGTTGGTGCCACGCTCAGAGACCTTTGTAACAGATACGCTATTAACGAGAGAATATGGCTTGATTTGTATGGGAAGGCTGGTGAGCATCGCAAGGGGCGAACAGGATTACTTTTCACAGGATGGTATACCCACGGCGACTGAAGGTTGTAAGAGTAATGCTCTCATGAGGTGTTGTAAAGACTTGGGGATTGCCAGTGAACTGTGGGATCCAAACTTCATCAGAATGTTCAAGAAGGAATACTGCGATGAGAGGTTTGTCGAACATGTCAGTACGAAGCGTAAACGTAAGATGTGGAAACGTAAAGACCGTACGTTCGATTATCCTTATAAAGTGTGCTAGTTTACTTGTCCCGTGTCCTGTGTGTATATAATGCTGAATTCATACGTCCATTGATCGTTTCTGAAATACATAGAGTCCATGATTGGTAAATTCCAACCACTAGTACTCAGAAGCAGAACGCCTCCACTTGGCATCCACTTCGTCAAAGACAATATCACCCGAAGAAATCCTTGAAGAGTGCTGTGACTGACTGCCATTCGTGTCTCCGTCACCGTTAAGCATTCCACGCAGATTCTGCCATGAAGATCTCTTACCCAAGCTGAAACCCTGACCATTGCCAACTTTCAAAGTGGAGTTACTAACACTTCTTCTTCGGCTTCTGCTGGCCTTAGCAGCATCCATATCCGCTTGTATCGACTGGTACTCTAACGGCACGATGTTGTATGACTCTGGAGAAGAAGTATACCTCCTTGGCGATGGGAAGTTGGAACCAACAACCTCATCCACAATCGCTCTTTTAACTGTGGATATGGAAAGGAACTGCGTTAAGGCATTGACACCTTCGCCATCACAGCATAGCTTGTCCTCCATCTCCTTAAAAAACATATCGATATCGCTCTCCTTCTTCCGATACTTGGTGGTCTTGTGCAACACTTCACTCGCAAAGGGTAGGAGTTGTGTCTCATAGAGATTGAGTAACTGCGCCAGCACCACCTGACTTTGCAGTGAGTAGAACACGGAGAACATACTCATAAAGTGGAAGTTGACATTGGCAAAGCTTAGCACGAATAGTACGAGCCAATAGCACACCCAAAAGACCAAGATCCTCTGTGTCCGTACAACTGAAGACAAGTCGGAGCCGTTTGAAGTTACTACCGATAGTTGCAAGGCCTTTAGCGTCAAGACAACGGGTATAGCAATCGACACACTAATCTCTGCAATTGGTATGAAATACCTGTCTAATAGCATCTGTGTATAGCTTCTCTACCTTTGGGCCAACGGCTTGATCTTGTAGGTATTGCCAGTCCACTATCAAACCTCTTCACAAGAGCAATCGCACACAAAAGTTGGCTATGTAATCACGGCTTTATGGGGACTTTGCTCTGCGGCTACCGAATGTTCCCGGCCGGCTTTATGCACAAGATTTAACCGGGTCTACATGACGTCATACCTCTGGTGTATATTACTACGGGCCTATAGAACTGTTTCAATCTCGAGATTGGTTATTAAGACATCCTTGATGGCCAGCGACGTGTCGTTTATGATCTTGACCATGCCCTTCGAGGTCTTCTCCACGGCCCTTTCCGTGAACAGGATGCGCAGCACACCTTGAGGTCCAACGTCTATGCCGTTGACCGTGCTGATTCTGAAAACGCTGTTTGCAAACAGTTCATCTTCTGGGGTACATATGCCACCGAGGTCGTACTGTACGTGCGGGATAGCGTGTTGGTTCAAGAACGTGGAATCGATCAGCTCGTTCCTGGTGTCGATTTGGCCATATTTCAGTAGTTCTAGCTTTAAAACCAGTCCATTTAGCGACATCACCGTGAAATCCGGGTCGGAGTATCTCAAATGGCAATTCTTTATATCACTGATTTCACCAAAGTTGAAGTTCATATACGCCGTTGTATATTCACGGTTGCACATGGCATTTGGTGGGGCGAAGACGGAGTAGAACTCTGCCTCATCAACAACCATGGACCTATAGGAGCCGAATTGCGATTTGAACTTTGAATCAATGACAAACGAATTTGGGTCCTCTAAAAACTGTGAAAAGAACCCATCTGTGCTGATAACTGGAGAACATTCCTCGCTGGAAAATGCGTCTGTTCCTAAGACATTCTCATCTATAGGTGGTAATGAGTGTGAATCGTAATCATCAAATAATCCTTTCAGAAAGCTAACAACTTTCTCGTCCCACGACAGCTCACTATCGTTAGAAGTTGATGATTTTTCAATATTCACATCCAAATCATTCTGTTGCTTCTGTTTGAAGTGCCTGTAGCTTGACAAAACACCAGAAGGTAACCAAAATGGATGTCCCTCTGTGGAGAAGATTATCCGTTCGTCATTGTTCAGCTCATTATCTTCATCGAAAAGCAGGTACAAATACATGAATGTCTCGCTCAAGACAAATGATTCCATCCGATCTTGCATCTCTTTCGTTCTAATGTCTCTATATCCTGCAAACCCACAAGGTGCTTTGAATACAGTCTCATAATCTTCCAGTATCTGTTCGCCAATTCTCAAAAATACAGGATCCTTAGTTGCCCTGTACAAATAGTACGTTGATTCGATAAACTCTGGTCTCAATGGATACCACTCCAATGAAATAACTTCCTCATCGCTGAACATCACTTGGGATTTGGCATCCAGTGCTATATAATCCCATCTCTCTGGAATACCCCCGTATTTGTCCCAAAGCTTCAAAAATGGCATGTATAGAGTCATGGCATTTTGAACCTTTCCAGAAAGGACTAGTAGCCCTGGGAAGAAGGCACTCAGTGCATCAACCCATGGTGTTACAATCATTGCTGTATCAGCATGTACGTTAGTCATGAACCAGCTCATCTTTGCATGTGACATCAACGCTTGATAGGATTTCTTCCAAACAGTCATTAATTCACTATCATCGAACAGTATGGCACCTTTCAACGCATACTCGTAGAACGAATCGATCGAAGCACCGATACCAGTAATTGAACTTAACCATTTGCCTTTTAATGGGTTTAAGCTCATCGGAACCAGATCAGTTGGTGACCTTGCATTCCAGATTGAAAAGTAGGCATCCCTTGATACTGTTTCAAACAAGGTATCATTGGTAAGAATTGAAAGAAGAGTGAGTTCCAGCATTGGTGACCCAGCACCCGCAGTACAGGTTTCTTCGATCAACTTCTTGGGAATTTTCTCAACACCGGTTTGCAAGTTCACTCGAGCAACGGGTATCCCGTTTGGTGACTCTGTATAGGCTCTTATGAGTCTGCTGCCGAGGTCGTGTGCCTTCCTAAGAAGAAACCCATCGTAATTGGGCAGCTGGAACTTGTACTGTGCGTACAGATGAGCCGATAGCAAAGACCCTAATGCCCTAATGCTTGTCTCAAATACCTGGACTGTGGAATCTATGTTGAAGTCAATCTCACGAATCACCTTGATGTACTGTTCAAACTTTTCGACATCGCCCAGTATGGCAAATGTGGTTATCGAGTCGACAAACGTCACTGAATAGTTCCCTAGAACATCATTTCTATCAATATCAAAGACATCGTCACTTCTCTCGTATTTCGTACAAGATAAAGGCCGTACCTCATCTGCTGGAAACCCATGTTCCATGTACGAATCCCACCCATGGTAAAACAGCACCTTAGTCTTGTTGCGGAGATGACTCAAGTGATGCTTTGTAAACGAGCCGTGGGAACTGCTGGTACACTGTACAAGACCGAAAAACAAACAGATCCATAGTATTCGCTGAATGACCATACTATGTTGATACTGTCGGCTCTGCTTTGGGTCTAAGATGGATGAACACGTGTGTAAATCGAGGCTCTGTGTGTAATTATCTAAGCCCAAGAACCACGTAAGAGGTAGTAGTGGTAGTGGTGGTCATTAACAGATTACGACCTTTTGTCACGTGATATCTCACGCGTTCCGGGGTAAATGTTTACATTTTACCCAAACCGGAAATATATGGATAAATAAGCCGCATAACTTGTTCTGTGTCAGCTATGATGTCTTGTGGACAATAGTGATGATTTGAAGGCGATTCCAGTACAAAACCCTTTGATTTCTATTCAGGGCTTACCTTTAAACCACTCACAGCACTTTCGAGCAACGTTAGGATAAAGTCAGATAGTTCTATAACGCTAATCAAATGTCACAGGCACCAGTTCAACCACTTCACCAAATCTTGGACTCCAAGGAGAACGTTGCTAAGGCAAGGGTACAACAATTGAGCAACCAACAGTATGTCTAGCTTCTACAAATTTGTTATCTCTGTGAACGACGCCTAACACGGCCTTTCTAATAGAAAACTCCAGTATATCTCACCTTCTGATAGAAAGGAGAACATGTCGCCAACTTCCAAGAAGCTTATGGATCACAAGTTGCGTAACCTATGGACGTGAGTAATATCCCACCAGGGCATTTATGCACAGCACACTAACAATTACACAACAGAGCCCCGGTTAAGAAGTTATCTGGCTTGAGACTAGAGCATCAGGACGAAAATGAGTAAACTGTTTACAAGGAGCTGTGCGTCCATCATCCTTTTGTTTCAAGGTTGGCGATGGCCTTTTCATGACACGCTACTGAAATACCCCCGGATCAGCTCCTAGTAGAGACACATTTTACGATCTTATATTTCTCTCGGGATAGGTTAAAGCTGTTGATGTAACAGTGTATATGGTTTTGAATATGGATATTATCTTTTTGTTTTCACTATTGCGATGGACTCTGGTGTAGCTGATGATCAAATCTGTAGTCCATAGTGCTATGTGTGTGTATTAACAGCGTGCATCGTGTTCTGCTCTGAAGGTGATAGCCCTGGTTTTCTTGCTTTTCATCTCAACGTCACATGACCTCGGTAAGCCCTAATTTTTCGTAGAGGACTTTACCAAGGTTCCGGGTGTTTGGATGTTTTCGCCTAATCCTGCAGAAACTGCGAAACCTGCGTCTGAATTGTGACTGTTCAAATTTTTCGCGATGGGAAACTCGCCAAACGCAACGATACTCAGACTGAAAAAAAGTGGAAAGCTCTTCAATATCACACACAGTAACAACCACCAACAAACCATCAACAACATCACCAACACACAATGGGTAGAGGTCCAAAGAAGCATCTTAAGAGATTGGCAGCACCATCCCACTGGATGCTCGACAAGTTGAGCGGTGTCTACGCTCCACGTCCATCCGCTGGTCCACACAAGCTTAGAGAGTCCTTGCCATTGATTGTCTTCTTGCGTAACCGTCTCAAATATGCTTTGAACGGTCGTGAGGTCAAGGCTATCTTGATGCAAAGACACGTTAAGGTTGACAACAAGGTCAGAACTGACGCCACTTTCCCAACTGGTTTCATGGATGTCATCTCCTTGGAGGCCACCAACGAGAACTTCAGATTGGTCTACGATGTCAAGGGTAGATTTGCTGTCCACAGAATCACCGATGATGAAGCTTCTTACAAGCTTGCTAAGGTCAAGAAGGTTCAGTTGGGTAAGAGAGGTATCCCATACGTTGTTACCCACGACGGTAGAACTATCCGTTACCCAGACCCAAACATCAAGGTTAACGACACCGTTAAGATTGACTTGACCACTGGTAAGATCTTTGACTTCATCAAGTTCGACACCGGTAAGTTGGTCTACGTCACTGGTGGTCGTAACTTGGGTCGTATTGGTACCATCGTTCACCGTGAGCGTCACGAGGGTGGTTTCGATTTGGTTCACATCAAGGATTCTCTTGAGAACACCTTCGTCACCAGATTGTCCAACGTTTTCGTCATCGGTGAGACTGGTAAGCCATGGATCTCCTTGCCAAAGGGTAAGGGTGTCAAGCTCAGTATCTCTGAGGAACGTGACAGAAGAAGAGCTCAACAAGGTTACTAAATTTTTCAATTTTAAAAGTTTTCTGAGGTTTTTTTGTTGAAGATTGGAGAGTTGTAACATAAGAGAAGAGTGTGTTGTCATGAAATAAGAGAACAAGACACTGTTTTCTTGATGTTTTATTGTTGCATCATTTTGTTAATGATAATGCAACTGGTTGGGTGAAGTGAAACCAGGTGTGTTGTATATTTTTGTTTAGGTTCTAACTACAAATAGAATCGATCATCTTTCGGAAGCAAGCCTGTAGTACCATTAATCTGTAAAATAGTCTCTCAAGAGAACACCAGTGCTCTTCCCACCGTAGTAGTGAATGTCTCGCTCCGAATAGCGATTCGTCCTGTCCAAGTGGTTGATAGCTTCCAAGATGTAAGGCTGGATGAAATCGTAGAAGACTAGGTCAACCTGATCGTTAAGGGGATCTTTCTCCTCATAGGAATCCACAATATTGGGTGCAGGATAGTATGGGATGGAATTGTGAACAACATCGTCACCATCACAGCCATAATCGTCCCGTGTGGTCAACCCATATTTCAAACCTTTCTTGTGGATATCAGGACAACGGAGATTGTCATGCTCACCTGCCATTGAGTTGAACTGTTGACTCTTTTCTCTCTGGAGTAAGATTGATGCCTTTTCCGGGGTAGATAACTGAAGGATAAATCTACCATTGTTGAGAAATGGTGGGATGGCTAACGCCAGATCCTTAGGCAAAGTGATGACATTCCAGTTATTCTTGAAAGGTGAAACGATATACTCTTGATCTCTTGTGAAATTTCCCTTGTACAGGTCATATCTTATACTTCCAGAGTTGACTATGATCAGCCGGTTCGAAGTTGAAGACTGTACTTCATTTGCACCTTGCAAAGTTGGTAAAATGGTGGAGTTCAACAACGTGTAAACGTTCAAGGGATGGCCATATGGGTATCTGTTGGACATGTATGATCTGTCGACATAGCCATAGCTATGAGTTAAGTTCAAATGCCGTCTCATCTTTGCTATATGGCTTGTCATCTGCAAGCCCTCAGGCGTGTCAAATTCCTTATCGTCGAGTCCAGTATGATGTTTGAAGCTTTCTCTGTTAAAGTCTACAAACCTTCTATTGAACTGTACGCCTGTCTCGGTTTGGTTGATGCTTATCCATCCCACAGTTTCACAATAGCGGCCACTCTGTAGCCCTGTTGCGAGACGGTCAAAGACGGCAAAGTCTCGTATATGAGAGTGGCCTCCAAGGTACTGTACCGGTGTGTTCGGGTACAGCCTTCTCAGATGGATGTGCAATGAGAGTAGCTCATGTTCCTCAACGTCTGTCACTGGGATATGGCCAAATACAACGATATAGTCGATGTCTGTCTCTGGTGTGCGTGCCAACAACTCGTTAAACCAGCTCTGTTTCAGCACTTTCGACAATGGCGTCACTCTTGTTCTGGAGTTGAACCGTGTGAAGTCAAAGAGGAACGAGAGTGCCAGCACTCTGTAACCTCTATTGGCTGTCTTGAATATGCGATACTTCGAACCAAAAGGTACAAATGTTCCATTGTCCAATTTGAACTCCACGTTACTAGAGACATATCTATCTCCAAACCTCTTCACAGACACCTCATACTCCTGTACAGAGTTCTCCTCCGTGTACAACTCATGATTGCCCAAAGTGACCAAGTCGTACTCCAACGAATTGAATATTGAAGTAGAAACAGCACCGTTGGGCTCTGTGATATCGCTCAGTCCGTTGCCATCGTGCTTATCACCAGTATCGACAACCAATAGATCTGAGCCCTTCACGTCGTTCAGCTCGCGCAGCTTAGCGGTAAAAGATATGAAATCACCCCAGTCACCACTGTACTGTCTCTGGTTCAAGTGGCCTGCGTACCAACCGTGCGTGTCAGTGGTGTGGAGGAAGTTCAGGTCTCCCCACACAAGCTCTCTGAACTGTGAGTTCTTTGGCGGAGAGATGTGTGGTTGTTGCTGTACAATTGGGCTCTGCTCAGACGCAACAACTAGCTGTGTCAGGACTGAAAGGCAGTAAAGCGTTGATTTCTTCATACGTTGGGTTGTTCGTCTGGTTCGTGAGCCGTGGGAGATGCCTTGTCTCTCCTTTTAGGCCTTTCCCTCATTGTCCATCCTGCGCTAGTGGCCCTCCGCAGTGTTTACTATGTCCACCTGCCGTGGGCTCAAAACCGTCACGACGTGTTCGCGGGGCCTACGCTTCAAACAGCGAATTGGAAGGAGAAGAAGGGGGAGAAAAAAACACTGGCGGCACTCAAATCACTCACTCACTCACCTCCATAACACCACAACACAACTCTTCGTATACAGGATAAGAAGAAAATGAGCTTTGAGGAGGAGAAAGTCGCTGGTGGACAATACGTCAACTATCCATCACCACATTTGACGCCTGATAAGTACGTTCCGGTGGACACCTTCAGCGCCACGAGAAGTGCTCTTGGTTACGGTGCAGCATTTGGTTTGTTGACTGTTGCTACGCAAAATGCGGTGCAGAAGAGCAGAGTTGGTCCATTGGGTATCATCACACGTTCCGGTACCCTTTGGGGTATGATTGTTCTTGTGTCCGGGTCTTACAAGTTTGCCTCCTCTGTTTTGTCGAACCTTAGGGAGAAGAAGGATACCTTGAACGAGTTCTACGCCGGTCTCGTTGCCGGTGCCGTTGCAGGTTTGCCAACCAAGTCTCTTGTGAAGGCTGCTGGCTGGTCCTTTGCCGGTGGTGTCATCACCGGGCTTGTGTACTGGTCTGGCTCGATCGTCGGTCAGCTTGGATCCAGTTCATACGCATACCGCGGTGTCGGCGTTGAAAACAACTTCAAGCCAAAGCCAGCGGATGAGGCTCAAAGACAAGGATTCTGGGACGTCTTGAGAAGACGTCCATTGAGTCAAACTCTGGAACAGCTCGGAGAAGGTGCCTTCAAGCCATAGAGAGCGTGCTTACCCTCTTCTCGTTGTTTTGAACTATTTATTACCTCCTTTTTTTCTTTATTGAACAATTTATTTATTCCGATATATGCTCCTATATATCAACAAACACTTCTATTTATTCATTACATATATATAAGCATGAGCCATGAATGTACATCTCATCTGAAGTATTTCAAAAAGGTCCCCCTTATTGTATGAGAGAGTATAGCATCCACATCGGAATTCTACCCATCGGAATCTCTCTCTTCGCGAACTCGTTTTATCAATTCATCGATTCCCGTTCCTTTTTCCCTCCTCGCATGCCAAAAATTTTCTTAAACAGAGGAAAGCCTGTTTTGAGTTCAAACTTTAGAAGATTTTTCCCCTTCCTTTTTTCATAATCATCTGTTTAAGCCATACACCAACCTACAAGCTCAATTCATACGAGAAGAGGACTATTCAATCAAGACTTTTGTCTATTTCAATCTCCATTGGAATTCTTGTGCGTGTGTCTTTGTATTTGGTTTTTTGGCTGCTTCTTATCTCTTGCTCCATACCCTCATCTGGTTGTATCGCTCTCACTATCTCGTTAAAGGGTAAGTTCTGTTTATCTATCACTAGGGAGAAAAAGCATGGTGTTGAGATAACGAGTCAAGGTAAAGCCGCAAGCAAGGACCTCAGTTCAACGGTGCAAAGTCCATATATCGATTGATCAACACGCTAGGCACTTCTCATGCCCAAAACAAAGGAAACTGGACTGCATTGGAAAGTGTCTTTCGCTCTATCTTCAAACCGTTCTCTCGCGCACGCCAGCCTATTGGCGATTTACGCCTTCCTCTACAAATTACTAACAAAAAAAATCTGCCACCAGGGGAAATTTTTACCAAACGGGCCACCACTGACCATCCGCATATCGCATCTTTACTCCCACGCCCCCTCTGCTTTTAATACATTTTATACAGCTTTGCCAGTCTACCATACAGGGTCCTTTATAGATAAGATGGTTGATTTTGCAAAGACTCTTTTTGGATTTGGCGGGTTCAACAAGACCGCCGCCACGACAAGCGCTGAGCGAACCAGCCAATACACTGATAAGGATCAGCAGGCAGGCCCACAACAAGGGCCTGTGCCAACTCAACAGCAGGTGGAAGGGCAACAACAGCAGGAGGAACAACAACAGGTAACGTCACATCAACAACAGCAGCCACAGCAGCCGTCATCCCAGCGTTTCCCATTCCAGCAGATGGCCACACCGACAACGGCGTTGAGTGATAACTCGTTTGCTTATGGTACCACCACCAGACCTGATGACTACCAACCACAAACAGTGCTGTCTAAGGTTGCAAGTGCTCAAGAGAACAACACTTCAAAGCTCAAAAGCGCCACTGCCACACCGCCTGCTGCTGGTGAGGCAACCGTTGGGAGCAACGTTAGTGACACTACAGCTGCAACGGCAAACACCGGACTGTCGATTCCTACTACTGCATCAACAACATCGGAGGCTGACTCTGTTCCAAGGGGCAAATTAACCGTGAACATTGTTCAAGCTCGAAACTTACTCACAAAGACGTCGAACGCTCAGCCATATGTCGTCTGTACTTTTGAGAGCTCCGAGTTTATCACCCATGGTCCAGAAAGCGTTGATAACCATCCGGCTTCTCATGTACAGATGTTGAAGAGGGATCGCCCAATTCCAACGGCTTCAAGACCGCTCTATTCAAGACAATCATCATCACAACACTTGAACAGACAACCACCTAGAATGCCACAAGAGCAACAGCATAACCAGTACTCAAATAACTCTAACCCGGTTTGGCACCACGAGACTATATTCGACGTTGTCGGAAACCATTCAGAATTAGACATTTCTGTATATGACTCTGACGAGACGTTTCTAGGACATGTCAGAATCAAACCAACCATCCAGACGAAGAACAAGAACAATGAGTGGTTTAAGCTCCAACCAAGAGTTGACGGTGAGCGTGTCAGCGGTGAGATTAACGTTAGTTGGGCTTTTAGTACAACTGGAAAGAGACATTACGGTCCAGAGGATTTCGAGGTGTTGCGTCTCTTGGGTAAAGGTACTTTTGGACAAGTGTTTCAAGTGCGTAAGTTGGATACAGATCGTATCTATGCGATGAAGGTTCTTTCCAAGAAGGTTATTGTAAAGAAGAAGGAAATTGCTCATACCATTGGTGAACGTAACATTTTGGTTAGAACTGCTACAACTGCATCACCGTTCATTGTTGGTTTGAAATTTTCATTCCAAACACCGACAGATTTATACCTTGTCACTGATTACATGTCAGGTGGTGAGTTGTTCTGGCATTTGCAAAGAGAAGGTCGTTTCCAAGAGGACCGTGCAAAGTTTTACATTGCAGAGTTGATACTTTGTTTGGAACATTTACACGACAATGATATCGTTTACAGAGATTTGAAACCAGAAAATATCCTGCTGGATGCAAATGGTCACATTGCCCTCTGTGATTTTGGCCTTTCCAAGGCTGATTTGTCAACAGATGCCACGACCAACACATTCTGTGGTACCACTGAATATTTGGCACCAGAGGTGTTGTTGGATGAATCCGGTTACACGAAGATGGTTGATTTTTGGTCTCTGGGTGTGTTAATCTTTGAGATGTGCTGTGGCTGGTCCCCATTCTATGCTGAAAATACCCAACAGATGTACAAGAACATCGCCTTTGGTAAAGTCCGTTTCCCAAAGGAGGTCTTAAGCCCTGAAGGCCGTTCATTTGTTAAAGGTTTGTTGAACAGAAACCCGAAGCACAGATTGGGTGCGCAAGGTGATGCACGCCAGTTGAAGGAGCATCCTTTCTTCCAAGATGTTGATTGGGACCTCCTGAGACAGAAGAAGATCCCACCACCTTTCAAACCACATCTTTCGAGTGAGACAGACACATCTAATTTTGATCCAGAATTCACCAATACCAGTGCCTCTGTCATCAACAAACAATTCCACATTGCATCAACTCCATTATCACCTGGTGTCCAGGCCAATTTCAAAGGTTTCACCTTTGTCGATGAATCCACTATGGAGGATTTCCACTCAAAGAGAATCACACAACCTTTCGGCTCCCTAATTCCAGGAAACCCACACCTGCCTCCAACTGAGGACGTCATTGAAGATGAAGAGGAGGACGAAGAGCACAACAATGACGTTGATATGGATGGCGATCATGAAATGGATGATGACCAATTCGTCAATGGTCAATTTGATCTTTGAACCGCTATACTGTGTTTTCACTTCATAGTGGCTTCCTCCTCGCCTGTTCTGCACCCCTTGGTTATCTCCTATCTTTTCTTGTGTGTTTCACTTTCCAACTGTACTTCTTTGGTCTCCCAGTGGATTCTCATCCACTAACCTTGTGCTATTTCTTTGGTTTCCATTTCACCCTGCCTTTTTCTTTCCGACCTTAGAAATATGGGCCATTGGATGTTTAAATATGCCCCTCTCATTGTGTATTTGTCCGTTTCCCAGTTATTTGTTTTTTAGTTATTATTGTTTGAGCGCATCCTTATACAGATTCCATATACATACCACTCAATCTCCATAGATCAAGTTAACCATCCCACAGTACACCTTGTGCCAAAGAGGTTGAAATATGCTGAGCACCATCATCGGTATGGACACGTCTCGCTCCAAAGCTGAAACGTTCTAGACTGCAGAAGCATACTATTAATACCTCTCACCGCATTTACAGCCTAGGAGAAGAATGGGCATTGATGTACTTGTGATTAGCGTATGATGCAGACTGCAATATCAACTGAAGTGGGAAATAGTAACTCTTGATGGCTTGCGCCTCCACCCATCACAGGTTGCTATGTGTGTATAACATGGGCATCGATCACGGATCTCACCTCGGCGTGCCGTTTCACGGGCAATGCACTATGATCTAAATCGGCTATAGCTGGTAGCTGGACACATATATATCGTCTCTACGGTTTTATAAACGGGTGTCTAAGGTACCACCATTACAATTCTCGTCCAGACGTTCACATATCCCCCCCTCTCTCTCTCTCCATGCACCGTGTAGCCTCTAACTTGAAACAGGACTGTCATCACACAGTTCACCACGGCTTTCCATATAACACCACTTTAAGCAACGGTGCATTCCCTCTACGCTTCTCCCTATCAATGGCCAACTACAGCCTCTACGCTATAGCTTAAGCCCCTCTTTTCTCGCCCCTGCGATCCAGCCTGTGGCCATGCACACCTGTGCACATTGCCACAGCGATATAAAGACAAGTGCCACCACTCTGTGTTCCTCCGTGTGTTTTAAATGAGGTTGTGCCACTGGCTCTCCCACAAGTTGAGCTGGAGAACCGTGGTGGAGTTCCCACCGGAAAATACAAAAACAAAGAAAAACCAGGAAAAGCACTTCACAAACAACTTGCGCTATCGGTTTTTAAACAACTGCCGCACCCGTCGATTTTCCGCTGTGCACCTTCCGCTGTCGACTTTCTGCTGTCATCATCGTACGCTGCAAAACGTATTACGCCAACGGCGCATCATAACGGAAGGGCTTTTTTATCTTCCTCCCTCTGCGTGTTGTGTGGTGTTTTTTCTTAAACCCCCATCTGGCCTGGAATTAACAATCATCAAATTTCAACTCGGCCCTTTGTTGTGTGTTTCTCGATTTTTTTTCCATTCTCACCACTGCCTCCTTTTGTTGTTGTTTTAATCCCAACGCTACAGCATCAGTCGTGTCCGTTGGTGTTGATTTGCGTGCCTGTGTGTGCTCCTTCTAAGCGTGTGCTGTTATACGTTGGTTGTGGAGCTGAGTCGGCTTTTCAGGGTGGGAAGTTGAACCGGGAAGCAACACCGGGTTGGAAGTTTATCACGTTTAGTCGAAACAAACAGGAGTTTGGAGGGACACAGCTGGCCGACGATGCCTCCAAAGATTGAACCAGAGGATGTGGCGTTATCCGGCATCAATGCGAGTCTTACGCAGTCGTTGGGGATTCCTGCCAACAACACCTCCTCAACGACATCTGGTTCCACTGATTTTGTGAAGAAGCTCTTTCTGATGCTTGAGGACAACTCCTACGAGACGATTGTGCGGTGGACGAACAAGGGGGACTCATTCGTGGTGTTGGACACGAACGAGTTCACGAGGGAGATCCTCCCGAGACACTTCAAGCACTCCAACTTTGCGAGTTTTGTCCGCCAGTTGAACAAGTACGACTTCCACAAGGTGAAGATGACCACCGAGGAGAAGCAGCAGAACGAGTACGGCGAGAGCGCGTGGGAGTTCAAGCACCCAGACTTCAAGAGACATGACCGCGAGGCACTAGAGAGCATAAAGAGGAAAGGCCCGGTGCAGAAACGTGTCAATACAGACGATACCAATGCTGAGGCCATTGCGAAGCTCGAAGAGAGTGTGGCTTCGTTGAAGAAGGAGAACAAGCACTTGATCAGCGAGATCAAGGCCATCAATCAGAAGTATACGACGGTGATTGAATCGATCATCAACGTCAAGAACACCAACGACCGCTACTTCAGAAGTGTGAATACCCTTGTGAATACGTTGGTCAACCATGGGATAAAGATGCCGGCGTTGGACCTGCCGCCAATAGACTCGCCACAGATAACACTACAACAAGTACAGCAGCAGGTGCAACAACCGCAACAACAACCGCAGCAAGTCCAGCAACCACCACAGCAACCTTCACAGCAAGCCGCCTCAATAGTACCGTCTAGCGCTGGGCAAGCTGGTTCTGCTGCAGTTCAAAAGCAATCTCCAAAGATCTCACACTCTCTGCGCTCTGGGTTCCACGTGCTATTAGTCGAGGATGATAACGTTTGTATACAGCTGTGTCGGAAGTTCTTGGAGAAGTACGGTTGTACCGTTGAGGTTGTGTCTGATGGGTTGACTGCCATCAATGCGCTTGAGAAATCACGTTATGACATTGTTCTCATGGACATCATCATGCCAAACCTCGACGGAGCAACTGCAACGTCGATAGTGAGAAGCTTTGATAATAGAACACCAATCATTGCGATGACTGGTAACATTGAAGACCAAGATTTGGTCACTTATCTACAACACGGCATGAGTGATATCCTCGCTAAGCCGTTCACCAAAGATGACTTGTACTTGATGCTCGAAAAGCACCTAAGTACCAGAACTCCGCTGTCGTATCAACAAGGCACACCGCAGCCCAGTAGCGTTGTTACTGACGTTGGTGTGAATATGGGTGTGACTGTAAACAGTGCTGTTCCTGGTGTTCAGCTGAATGCTCTCTCCGGTGTTCAAGCCCAAGATCTCGTCCATGATGATGCTCCCTTGGGGAAAAGACAAAAGCTATGATAAAAATATCCCTCTAAAATAGGAAATGTGTATATGTGTAAGATTATACTGTGCTTAATACAATGTGTACTTCTACTTGATACTTTTTTATTCCTTATAAGGTGGTGTGTTTAATCCTCTGCTACTGCAATCACAGTTTCTTCGAATCTGACTGACTTTCTTCTGGTTCTTTCACCATCACCATTTGGTAACGGTAGATCAAATTCCTCGTCCTTTGCTGAATCGAGCATCTCCTTGACTGCTTTTTTATGAGAAGCATCTTTCGACTCTGAGGATTTCCTCTTCTCCAAGGCCTTCTTATCCTCTTTACATTTGTTACAGTTGCACTTGAACCCCCAATTGACACGCAGCTCTCTAAGCCTCTGGTTCACGTCGTGTGCAGGGTTGACATAGGACGTTGTAAGTTCCTCGTTGGCCTTGATGTCTCTCTTAGCGTACACCTTGATACCATCAGCCTTGTGTTCTCCGAATAGGACCCTAACGTTTGGATCACAGTTATGGTTCAGATGAGCTTGTATCAAAAACATAGAACCGTCAACATTGTTGATGTTGTAGCTTCCCAAGAACTCCATGTACTGTTCATATGTGATTTCATCGAGTGGGAAGATTTCGTTGAACTTAGCGTAAGCCTCCCTCCAGAGTGCCTCCTGTTGCTCCTTCACGAATAGAGCACCACCAGAGTTTGTATCAAAGGAGCCACCGATTCCAGACGAGTCTATTGCCTTGTACCTTATATCTTGACGGACTTTTGCAAATGCATCAAACTGTTGCAATAGAACCCCTGTCTTATCGGTAAGGCAGTAAGCGTAGATCAGAGCCACAGCATGTGCAGCGTTCCATTTATTCTCATAGCAGTACTTCTCATACCTTAACCAGGCAGCAGAGACGATGCGTTTCTTGGATTTCTTTCCCTCTTGGTAAACGTTGTGCTTCAATGTTCCATGAAGTGTGTCTTTCTTCTTACAACGTATAGAACACCAAACATCGGAGCAGACGTTACAATCGAGTCCCTTCTTCAATTGGGAGGCAGTCTTGAGGAGAGTCGCACAATAAGTACACGCATTTGAAGATTTAATCAGGTTCATATGATCCAATGGCGGGATGAAGAACAGCGGCGATTCCTCTTCCCAGAGCAGATCACCTTCCTTAAAGGGCTTTGTGGCGTAGAGACCTTTACCTCTGTTCTTTGTAAACTGGTACCTGATGTTCTTTGGCATAACCAAGTTTGGAGTGTCCTTGGAGGTGATTTCAGAGGCATAGGCAAATTGTTCCGCACTGTTCAACAGGTTATAGGACTTCAGCACTGTCTTCAGTCTCTTCTCGCTCAATGACCAATTTGGATTCCTTTTTTTAACCAACGCGTGTAATTTCCCAATGCCCAGTGACTCTGTGATTGGATCTTCCTTCCACAGTTGAATCACACCTTCGACGATCCTCCGCTCATGAGGAATCACTTGGTCCTCGGTGGAGATCTTACAGTCGTTGATGTTGATGATCTCAATGTGAGTATTCGGCATCTTTCAGGGGACTCGATGCTATGGCTTCTTGTGAAGAATTGATGAACACTCCAGGCTAGGAAACTCGTGAAGGAAAAATTTTGGACTCGAGGGTCGTATGCCCTTTGCAAAGATTGTCGATGATGCACACGATGAGCCTCAGTATCTGGTGTAGAGGTGTTTGGGTGTTTGGATGTTTCAGTGTCCGGATGTACAGCAGAGCGGGGAGGGAGCCGCCAGGGAGCCGCCATGGAACAAAGCTCCATTGTTTCATTGTTTACAACATCATCGAAGTAACGAGAGGAAGCGCAGTAGGAAAGAGCTTCAATCAGGGGGATATCTCATTCGAAACCATGTTTAGAGGGATCATTGCTAGACATCCAGTTGGATTTATCGGTAGAGCCGTCAATTCTAGGTCACTGGTCAGGTATAACCAGGGCATTAAGCTGTCTGCGAGAAGACTCCAGTCAACTGTTGTTGATGGTGAAAAGCAGCAAAGAGTTAAGAAACAGTCGTCTGTGATCTCGCTTGTGTTGGCTTCTTTCATCCTTGGTGCCACGACGGCGTTCCTGTTCCCTCTCAGCGATATCGCTAAGCTCGTTGTCCTTGAAACGTTGCCTACTGATGAAGAAGGTGTTGAGAGGTACAAGGAGAAGTTGGAGGTGAAGCTGACTGAGATTCCACTGTACAAGCAGCTGCAATCAGATCCTCAGTGGAGATCTGTCAGGGCCTGGAACTATATGGATTCCAATACGTTGAACGAGACCATGACATCTGGCACTCTATCTGTGCCCGGAGGTTTCGCCATTAAACCGGTGCTGTTTGTGAATTCGACAACAAGGGAGACTGTCACGATCTTCCACGTGGGTGAAAGAATGTGTGGTTATCCTTTCTTGGTCCACGGTGGTATCCTTGCTACAATTTTGGACGAAACTCTGAAGAGATCCTCATCTTTCCTATTTGGCATCGACCCAGCGTCTGAGTATACTCCGGATAAAGTGAAGACAAACCGCATCGAATTGCAGTACAGATTCCCAACGTTGGCAAATAACTTTCTGGTGGTTAAGGCTCGCTGCGTTGATGGACACGTTGAAGGTGATATCGAGACTGTTCAAGGACGTCTGCTGGTACAAGGTGTGGGACATTTCTCACAACGTACATCTGTTGAAACCAATTCTAAGCCGGCAAAGAAGAGATGGTTCTTCTTTTAACCCTCTGGGTGCTTGAACAACCCTATTATTTATCAGCATTATATATTCTATCATTTAAGATCACGTTGTTCAACTGTTCATCGTGGGGTTCCAATGGGATCTCTTGTATAAACTGTTGTTCCAGCCCAATGCCCAAGAGATACGGTCTCTTGTTGAACTTCTCCACGTGTCTCTTGATGTAGTCATCGTAGAATCCACCACCGTAACCTGTTCTGTAACAATCTTCGGAGAATCCAACACCCGGCATTATCAACATGTCGATGCCTTCTTCACTTTCCATTGCGTCCTCGCCAGAGGTTGGTTCCCTGATTTGGAATTTGCCCTGTGGTTTAAGGGAGATGACATCTTGGAACGAATCCATCTTGTGAAATCTCAACAGTGATTTCTGCTTGGGCCATCTTTGGAACTCACCAGGCTCCAGTTGGGAACATCTCGGCAGGTAAACAGTTTTCCCCATCGTTATCAACTGCTGAATCAAGGGCAATGTTTGAATCTCACCATCCATGCTCATGAACACCCCGATGGTCTTTGCAGAGTGGACCCTTGGGTGTTTCAACACCAAGCTCGTTGTGTTTGCTGACTGTGACTCAATTGAGCCCTGTGATAAGGACTTCACAGCATGACTCACTGACGTTCTCACCGCTTTCTTATCAAAGGACATCTCGTGAGGATTTACTACCGGCTTTCCTCGACCGCTCATTGTGACTTTAGGCCGGTGACTAACCTTCAGCCGGCTTTAACACTTGATCCGTTGCGAGGAGTGGCCCCGTTACCGGCGTTTTTCTCATTTCAATTTGTGAATTTCTCCGGTTTTGTCGTTACGTTACTGCAAAAACATTCCATCGTTAGCCGAGATGTATAGTTTTTGTGCGAGTGTGAGATTATCCTTATTCGACCATACGTCACGTAATTGGAGAGCGCGCGTCAAAAGACAAAGACATTTTTCCAGGCCCATAGATTCATGGCCATGGAATACGTGAGGGCCATCTTGTGATCGCAGGCAACGGCCAAAAAACTAAATACATACACACCAAAAAGAAAGAAAATCTCGAAAAAAAAGACTCATTAAGACGCTGTCGGCACTTTTTTTCAAAGACCAAAGTTTATTCACCCACTTCAGAAAAAGACCCATAAAAGTCTCCTCTTTTTCCCCCTTTTAGTCTCTTCGATCTTCCCCTTTTTTTCGTACGATGTTAAAGAACTTTGTCAAGGGAATTAGAACAATGGCTTCCACTACAAAGCTTGCACCACTTGACGCTTCCAAGTTGGCCATTACCAAAAATGCTTCACCAAAGACACCATTGCCAAACGAGCAATTGAAGTTTGGCCAAAGTTTCACCAACCACATGCTCAAGATCCAATGGAACGATAAGGATGGTTGGAAAAACCCTGAGATTGTTCCATATGGACCATTGGTCTTGGACCCATCTGCTTGTGTTTTCCACTACTCATTTGAACTGTTTGAAGGTTTGAAGGCTTACAGAGATTCCGAGGACAAGATCAGAATTTTCAGACCAGACAAGAACATGGCCAGAATGAACAAGTCTGCCCACAGAATTGTCTTGCCAACTTTTGACTCTGAGGAGTTGATCAAATGTATCGGTGAGCTGATCAAGCTTGACAAGGAGATGATCCCAAAGCAAAAGGGTTACTCTCTTTACATCAGACCAACTTTGATTGGTACCACTGCTGGACTCGGTGTCAGTGTTCCAAGTGATGCCCTTTTGTACGTTATTACATCTCCGGTTGGTCCTTACTACTCCACTGGTTTCAAAGCTGTTAGACTTGAGGCCACCGATTACGCAACAAGAGCTTGGCCAGGTGGTGTCGGTGATAAGAAACTCGGTGGTAACTACGCCCCATGTATCAGACCTCAGTTGGATGCCGCTTCCAGAGGTTACCAACAAAACTTGTGGTTGTTTGGTGATGAGAAGTACATCACTGAAGTTGGTACCATGAACGTTTTCTTCGTCTTCAAGGACCCAAAGACCGGTAAGAAGGAGTTGGTCACTGCTCCATTGGACGGTACCATTTTGGAGGGTGTCACCAGAGACTCCATCTTGGAGTTGTGCAGAACCAGATTGAACCCAGAAGAATGGGAAGTTAACGAACGTTACTACTCCATCAACGAAGTGCGTGACAGAGCCGCTAAAGGTGAGCTTGTTGAGGCATTCGGTTCTGGTACTGCTGCCATCGTTTCTCCAATCAAGGCTATCGGTTACGAAGGTAAGGATATTGACGTGCCATTGCTCCCAGGTCAAGAATTTGGTGAACTTACAAACCAGGTTGCGCAATGGATCCAAAAAATCCAATACGGTGATGAAGAGTACAAGAACTGGTCTCATGTTGTTGCTGACTTGAAATAAATTCGTATATAGAGAGAGCCCCTCAAAAAATGACATAAAATGATTTCTATTGTACCACCGTTTTTATTGATGTTGAAGTTTACGCACACACACACACACACGCGTTTGAACATTCCTTTCGCAAATGTCCCGAATTTCCAAAATCAAAACAGAAACGACAGGCACCTTTAAAAGTTTGGGACAAAAGAAATCAAGTTTACACAAACACGCTAAAAAAAGAAAGATTTGGCATTAAATTTGTCACTGTGATACAAAATTGAACCCCCTTTGTCCCTTGTTTAAAAGCTCAACGGTATCCCACAAGCGACCCAAAAACATAAGCTCTTACTTCCTAGGACATTGGACAAATGGCATTTCTCTTTAAGAGAAACCCTAAGACCCCAAGCGAGCTCGTTAGGGCCCTTAACGACAATATTGTTAAGTTTGACGCTGCCTCAGACCGTAAGAAGGTTCAGGATGAGGCCGCTAGGCTCTTGACGCAGATGAGACTCGTACTTCATGGGGATGAAGATATGGAACCACAACCAGATTTGATAGCACAATTAGCCCATGACATCTACCAGACTGATTTGCTCTACTATTTGATCTTGAATTTACACTATTTGGAGTTTGATTCTAGAAAGGACGTCTCTACACTGTTTTCGACCCTTTTGCGAAGGCAGATTGGTAACAGGTCCCCAACGGTGGATTACCTCTTGGGTAAGCCGAAGATTATCACTGCGTTGATAAAGGGACCAGAAGTGCCTGAAAGCTGTCTGATAACCGGCGCAATCTTAAGAGACTGTATCAAGTTCGAAGCGTTGACCAAGATGGTGTTGCAAGACCCTGCGGTGTGGAAGTTGTTCGATTTTAGCTCGAAAGGGACCTTTGAAAACATGACTGACTCCTTCCAAACACTAAGCGATTTATTATCAGTGCATAAGAAGTTGGCCGCAGAATGGTTGGTGAACAATAACGATCACTTTACACTCCAGATAAACAAGCTCATCAGCTCGAACAACTACGTTACGAAGAGACAGTCCATAAAGTTGCTTTCAAATTTGATATTAACCAGGCAAAACTCTCAATTCATGAACCAGTACGTGAATAGCGCACAGAATTTGAAACTCGTTATGATCTTGCTCAGTGACAAGTCTAAGAACATCCAATTGGAGAGCTTCAACGTCTTTAAAGTATTTGTGGCTAACCCCAAAAAGTCAAAGACAGTGCTGGACATCTTGATCAAGAACAGGGACAAGTTGATCATTTTCTTTGACAATTTTAACTTTGCCGAGCGTAAAGATGATCCACAGTTTAAAGAAGAGAAAGAGTTCGTGGTCCAGCAGATTACAGATCTACCAAAGATTGTCACCACACCAAGTGGAACATCAGGAACGAATAGTGGGACTACAACACCTGGGGGGAAGATTTAAAAGAACTCTACTTTACACGAAGCATAGACATACAATATGGGGAAGAAGGGGTGAGGTTTATCATCACTATGTACGTCCTATATAGCACCACATATACAGGTATTTTTTTTTATATTTGCATCATTATCTTACATCAACGACATAGAGGGGAACTCTATTTTCAAAATTGTAGTCCTTCTAGCTCACTCAACGTCTTTGACTTCATTGCTGTTGCCTGTTTAGGTGAATCGACACCAGAATCTGTATCAAGTTTCTGCGATGGAACGTTTGGGAATGTAGGTAAACATTCGTAAGAGTTTGTGCTCTCTTCAATGGCCAATTTCTGTTGGTGTATTCTCAATTTCAAAGCATCAATGTCCATCTCTGGAATGATATCATCTTTGGATTCAGTGGCAAGAAACGGTTCCACAATAGGGCTCATCATTATCTGTCTCTCTTGTTCCTCCGCAATTAAGAATTCGTTCAGGTAATAATGCTTCCCACTAATCTGTTGATCAACACACAGTAATCCATTCTCAATGGCACTGTTGAATATCTCTTCTGTTATGCTTAAGCTCCAGTTGAAATATTCACTTGCCCTTAAGATGTTGCAATACTTGAATTGGAACTTATCTGCAACACCATAAATATCGATAAACTTGCGAATATCAGAAATCAGCTGTTCATGGTTGGCAAACTTGTGGTCCTGAACCACAAGCACTTTGTTAATCCTCTTGAGTATTAGAGGAAGGTTCAACTTTTCGAAATAGGAACACGCTCCGTATAACTCATCAGGCGAAATGAGGTTAAATCCAACACGTCCTCTGTTGTACAGTGCATACAAATCCATTAGTGTAATAATGCCACCTTCTTGTTCCAAGGTCTTATCCGTAATCAGGAATTCAGATATCTGTCTCGAGATCTCCTGAAGGTACAGCTTCTGTTGATCCTCCTTAGAGGGATCTCTCAGTATACTCTGTGTAACTTGGTTTATGGTTGGTATGATCTTCTCCTGTGATCTCGCATCACCAGTTTGTAATCTCTTGAAACTCTCTATTAAACTGTTGATCTCGTTGGCCTTTGCTAACAGTGCATGTAAATCATCCAGGGATGAGTTAATAATCTCTTCGTTTTTCCTCGTCCTACTCTCCTCCATCATCGCAAGTCTATGCAAGCCGACACCACGAGATTCAGGCCTCTCAATCTCAACCTTTTGATCTTGTGATTTCACAACGTTTTTGTTAACATTACCTTGCGAAACAAGTTGCTCCCATTGTAGTTTTTCTAATGCTTGTTCAAACCTTTGGAAAAAGACCTTATCACCACCTTTGTGGAAACTCAGTTTGATGAAGGGGATTGGTACTTCGTCTAATCCATCATGCGCCTCTGTCTCGATTCTGATTCTGTCATCAAAGATCTCTTGTTCATCGGTCGTGGATTCGTTGGCCTTGTTTATCGGCAACACTGTTCCACACACCTCGCAGTTTCTCATTGAAGGATGATTCAAGAAAGTGCACGCTGGACACTCAATCTGCTTAGACCTGGAAGAGTCCTGCTCCTGAAGTTGTGGCTCTTTGACGTCCTTCTTAGAGTTTTCAATGGCGTTCTTGATCACCTCTTTGTCTGGCTTCACGCCACAAGTTTCGCATGCGGGTATGAACTGACCATCTTGATAGTTCTGGTATGCACTTGTTGTGTTAGCAAACGAACATATTGGACATATCCATGTTGTCTGTCTGGCAGTTGTCCGCTTCTTCGCCCTTGAGGGCTTGAAGGATTTGAAGAAAATGGTGATCTTGGGTGAAGATCGGAGAAACTTCCCTGTAAACTCCACGGAATTGACATCTGAAAGCTCTACTGCCAAGCTCATATCCTTTGGTGATACATTGTCTATGTATATCAGCCGTTGTGAAGTCAAATACGCTCTTCCATTCTGTCTCTTCAAGATCTTTGATTTACCTTGGTACAACCCGACAGAGTCCTCCACAAGTATGTCAACCTCTTTTTCACGCAGAGTCGGTCTTGATCCCGCAGATACTTCTACTGAGTGCCAATAGCTTAGTTGTGGCATGCCATTGAGTGAACTATTATCTCTGCTTGTGATAAACTAATAGGGGGAGGTTATGGGAATATTTCCAAGATAGCGTGGAAAGCCTGGAAACGTGTGCACGACGGGATTCGAACTCGCGACACAACTTTTTTTTCCCTTTGCTTTGCTTTTCTGGCCCTTTGGAAAGAAAAGAAAAAACTCCGGTCACCGGATTAATTGCTGCGTCAAAGCGCATGCTGTTCTTTCCAAGCATGTTTTCTTTGGTCAAGAGCTTAGACTACAAAAAGCCCAACCTCATACGGTTGTGTGTGGTGCGTAGTCTCTGTCCCAGGCTTGTTAGTCGGCGACCATTGGTCCTTCATCCCTCGTGTTCACCACGTGATGGGCCATTTCTCGCAGTGAATGATTACACTGATCCAATAATGAAGGGGCCATAAAATGGAAACGTTTGTTTTTGCTCGGCTCAGGATACCTGCTCAGTGCCTGTGATGAGGGAATCTCCAACGGTTGCTTGTTCTCCATAATGGTCCAATCGAAAAACAGCCAAACCCGGTTACAAACCTCCTACAGTAGGCAGCTTTGGCGAACTCTGCAGCTGTAGACGATGACCCTCGATAGATTTCCACTTCTACGCAATTACTGGAGTAACGGTAGGAAATTTTGGATGGGCACAGTAGTTGACACCTGATTAGCTACCGTAGCCGTATCTTGAGAGATTCACCAAAAACTAAGCAACCCCAGTTAGGGGTGCAAAAGAACTTGGAAAGTCGCAACTTAATCTAGTCGACCCCCATTTCGACCATGTCTTTTTCCATTACGACCACGGCCCCTTCCTGATCACTTGATCAGCGACCACTGATTCCATACCAACGGCACCAAGGTTTGGTGTTTTTCCGCTCCCTGGCGTCGTCTCTGAGTTGTCTGCGTTTCTTGCCCACGTCACCGACGTCTGCCATGGTACAAAGTTCATTCGCACAGCGTCACAGTGCATTCCCTAAAGCCCAAAAGGCCCCAATGAGAAGGCCGGGAAAGCTGGAAAACCTTGAATTTTCTGCACAAAACTCCGTGAAACGGCTTACACGGCCTTTTGCGGTTTGATTACGGAGCCCTCTCACTAGAGAAATTCAATAAAACCTCCACTTGAACACCCGCTTTTTTTTAACTCATTTCAGCTCTCTTCGAGTCCAATTTTTATAAACTTCCCTTGAACTTTCCCTTCACAATTCTTTCCGTCCATTCCCCCTGTGCTCGTCCACGAAGAAACTGAAGATCTCCGTAGTAAAGAGACAACCAAAGCAAAGGTGACTGTCAAGCTGTTGAGCATCTAACACGGATTAGGAAGACCGTTATACATTGTACCCTTTTTACTCCCATGCACAGATCAATCTTTACCTCGCTGAGATTGGGTACCAGTGGTGCGGCCAGTAGGGTATTGATCAACCCGAGAGTAAATCCGATGGTGAAGAGGTGTCTCTCAACGGTATCAAAGAACCAGGCCCTGTTCACCTCGAATACCCGTCTGCTATCATCGAAGGTTCACTTCTCATCCTTTTCGAATCTCAAATATTCCAATGCTCCTCAATTACCGAAGACCATCCCTCCACCGAGATCCTACTTTGGCAATACGTTTATTGGGAAAGTGTTGAAAGGTCTATTCCTCGCAGTGATGGTTGGTTCCACAACCATTGCTGTTCTCATTGGTGGCTTCTTTATCTACGATGCAACGACTTACACAACGGAACACTTCCCGGAGACGATCAAGGTTTCGCAGTATGCGCTTTCGCCAGAAAAGGGTGGTCCGGATAACTTACCGATCCTCAAGTACAGATTGGACGACTATGACTCCCCTGAAAAGGAGGAGCTCGTTTACAGACCGAAGTTGGTTGTTCTGGGTTCCGGTTGGGGTTCTGTTGGTGTGCTGAAAAGCCTTAAGTATGGTGACTATGATGTTACCGTGATCTCTCCAACAAACTATTTCTTGTTCACTCCACTTCTACCAAGTGCTGCGACAGGAACGCTGGAGGTTAAAACTTTGATTGAATCCATCAGAGCCATTGTCAACCGTTTGAATGGTCACTATTTGGAAGCATATGCTGACAAGGTTGAATTCTCCGAGAAGCTCATCAGAGTCCATCAATTAGACAAAGTCACCGGTGAGATGGTTGAGTTTTACGTCCCGTATGATAAGCTGGTTGTAGCCGTTGGCTCAAATTCGAATACACACGGTGTTGAAGGCCTCAACCACTGTCATCAATTGAAGACTGCTGAAGATGCCATTGCCATAAAGAAGAAGATATCTACTATTTTGGAAACGGCTTGTTTGCCAACAACAACTGATGAAGAACGTAAGAAAATGTTAAGTTTTGTCGTTTGCGGTGGTGGTCCAACGGGTGTTGAGTTCGCTGCTGAGGTGTTTGATCTTTTGAACGAGGATTTGCCAAAGGCATATCCAAAGCTTTTGAGACAGGAGTTGAGTGTTCATGTGATCCAATCCAGATCCAACATCTTGAACACGTACGACGAAAGAATCTCCGAGTATGCCACACAACGTTTTAGAAAAGATGACATTGATGTCTTGACAAACTCTAGAGTTGTCAAGATTTTGCCAGATGAGGTCATTTTCAACCAGAAGAACGAAGAAACCGGTGAAGTTGAGTTGAAAAGTCTTCCGTTCGGTTTCTGTCTATGGTCCACTGGTGTCGCTCAAAACCCATTGGCTAAAACCATTGTTGCATCCCTTCCAAACTCTCAGAGAAACAAGAGGGCCATCGAAACAGATTCTCACTTGAGGGTTATTGGTGCACCTCTGGGCGACGTCTATGCCATCGGTGACTGTTCGACAGTAAGAACTGATATGGCTGAACACACCGTGGATTTGGTCAGAAAACACATTATTGATAAGCACTTGAAAAACGTCCAGTCAACTGCAATCATCACAGATGACGACATCAAGACAATGAAGCTGACGTACTCCGAGATCTTTGAACTGGGCCATGAACTCTCTAGAAGATACCCACAGGCATCTGAGGCGTTAAATGTGTTGAATGAGCTGGTTCCAGTCTACGACGTGAACAACACGGGTCATCTTCAATTTGATCAAATCTCCAAGCTGTTGAAGGATATCGACTCGAGGGTCACCTCGCTCCCGGCCACTGCTCAAAGAGCTGCTCAGCAAGGTAAGTATCTGGGTAAGAAGCTGTCCAAATTGGCTAGATCCTCATTGACGCTCAGTGCAAACGAAATCCTCGACGGTGACATTGATGCTGCAGTCTCCAAACCTTTCTGTTACAAGCACCTGGGATCTTTGGCGTACATCGGTAACTCTGCTGTGTTTGACTTGCCAGGCTACTCCTTTGTTGGTGGTTTGATCGCCATGTACTTATGGAGAGGTACTTATTTCGCACAGTCCGTCAGTTTGAGAACAAGAGTTCTCTTGTTCCTGGACTGGCTCAAGAGAGGTCTCTTTGGTAGAGATTTCTTACCTTACTAGAGCATTAACAATAAAGAACCTTGATAGAGATATATAACTATAAAAACGAGCAATTTCGATACAAGTTGAAGAATTCTGAACAGGCTGGTAGTGCTATCTCACTTAGCGTATAAGCTCTTCCGAGCTGACAGCGCCCAAAGCCGTCGGTGCCTGATGTCGGCGTTTTCTGCAAGTTTTATAACACCGCTCGCATGGCGTCAGCGTCTGCAATCTCAGCATGAACGTCTGAGCTGATCGAAGATTACACACCAAAAACCACATTGTTCTAGTTTGAGGATTCGTATTTGATCTGGAACGGTGTATCAGTATCACGTGGTCATCCTGTTTGTGGTTTGTGGCCTCTTTTACAGGCAACGTGAGGAGTTTCAAAGCACAAAAGTAAGGATGGAAAGCCCACAGGGCTTTCCACCTTATGGAGAACACAATCTTTGGGATATCACGTTTGCAGTGGGTAGAGAATGCAGAACAAGGCGTCGAACTCAACACCTGGTCTTGATAACAGTATACAATCTTCAAGCAAGCGAGCTCACACTCTGTTAAGTGCTGTTTCCATGGAGTCGTCGATGAATAGGATGAACGAGCTCTTTTCCAGCTTCAAGAAGTTGAATCCAACGTCACCAACAGCAGAAGCGACGTACGACTGTTCTGTGAGATCTAGCACTTCAACTAACTCTGATGTGGCCTTGTATGGATGCTTTGAGAAACTGGGCAAACTAGTATCGCTTTACATTGGTGATTTGGACCCAAATGTTACAGAAGACATGCTTTACAAGCATTTCGGGGGCTTCAAATCGTTATCATCTGTCAAGATATGTTGTGCTCCAGGGACTGGACTGTCCCTTGGGTACGGTTACCTTAACTTTGGATCAAAGGAGGATGCCAACAGGGCAAGGAAGGAGCTAAACTGCACAAAGCTCTTGTCTAAGGAGGTTCGCATCATGCCATCGATTAAAGACAAGGAGAAGCCATTTCTAGCAACCAACGTTTTCATATCAAACTTGAACACTGAAGTAATCCACTCACTTCGAGATTTCTATGAGTATTTCAGTGGTTATGGAGAAATATGGTCTTGCAAACTTGACTTGAAGAAGAGACAAGGCTTTGTTTCCTTCCAAGATAGGTACACAGCGGAAAAGTTTGTTGAGTCCATGAATGACCAGGTGTTCCATGGATCAAGAATCTTCTGCTCTATACATATCCCCAAATCCAAGAGACAGGCTAACCAGACACATTGTCTACCTTCCTCCCCGGAGTTGACATTAACAAGATCCAGTCCTATCAACTCAGCTTTGACGTGTAACAAGGATACAGTCTCGCCAGTGTCGAGCGATATTAAGGACTCCGCTTCTGGATTCAACCAGGTCTACATTAAGGGTCTTCCTTCCAATCTGTCAGTAGACTTGATTAGGGCATTGGTTGAAAAATACGCCGAAATTGAGAATATCTATACTGCCCATCCAGCGCAGTACAGTTCTCTGTGGGCAATTGTAACGTTGAAGAACAAATATGACGGTCCTAAGGTGACACAACACCTTCACAGAACTCTTTTCAATGGAAATAGACTTGTCTGCGTGAGAGCTTTAACAAGAGAAGAACGTCAAAGACAGCTTGACTCTGAGCAGACAAGTTCCCTTTTCCCTCGAGCACCTCAAAGTAAAACGTTCAAAGTCCATCTATACAATTTGGCTCCTCAAACTACTGAGAACTTCTTCAAGATGTTTTTGAAGAGCTATACATTTGAAGGATCAATTCTCAAATACTACATTTGTGCAACTAGCAAGGAGTCTAACTCTAGCTATATTGAATTCACCAGTGAAGATGATGCAAAAACTATTCTAAACAAGTTGGATGGTGTGACAATAGCTGACTACAAGATAAGGGCGTCGTTATCTGAGTTATCTGACCAAGAAATTGCTTCTCTCCAGAAGGAAAATTCTTCATCACTGCAACCTTGTGATGTGGAGAAAGAGAACTTGAAGAAGCTCACCAACAACAGAATAACGACATTTCAGGATCGTCAGCAGAAGTTTTATATCAATCCCAGTGGACCATCATATCCTTTAGCTTTTGGACAGGGATATCCATTTATCCCTCTTTCACTGCAACAACCAAACGGGTTAAAGGGCACTAGAAGTTTCCCTCCAATGTCACAAGATACTCGTATCAAATACGACTTTGCAAATTCGATTCCAGTACCGGTTGAAACTATTGAGTACTTGGAATCATGGCTAGAGAGAATCATCCCATCTTATGTTGATTTTTTGAAATATCCAGGTGCTACGAGACCAAGAAATATCAAGATAATTGTGAGGTATTTGGTGGATAGCTATTGGCGTCATGATCCAGTTGCCATTAAACGTGATTTGGTGAGTATTTCGGCAAAGAACCCGGAAGCTGAGATTATGTTTAGAGAGAAGTTAGTTCAAGCCATGGAGTATTTTGGGTTTTCCAGATGAAATATCAACTCCAATTCACACTGCAATGGGTAGCATGGCTATGGAGAGGTGTCTTCATGAGCCGTTATATAAAAAAACGCTCTGTATGAATTCTAAATTTTGGCCTGTGTTCCTTCTAAAATAACAACCATGACTTTTGTAACAGACTCCACGGGGTAGCATGATCCCTGCTGGAGTATTCACTAACCATACACTACACCTCATTGCTATGATCTCAACTGATTCAGTGTTAATCCTCAGCAGAATGGCATTAATGCAAGCCATAGCCAAGCATGTGGTGCAATATTGCTTCCCGCATTGAATTCCGATGGATTTTCGCTTCAAACTCATGACTGTGGCTGACTTTACAACAACTGGACCAAGCACTGATTACAAATGAGAAGCGAGTCATCCCGTGTCCTAGAGACAATGGTGTCATTTCGCAGGCGACAGAGCATACAACACTGCTCAGCTTCAACGTGTCAAGCAAGTATACCCCAGTGGCAGGGTACTGCCACCTGTAGCCTTATGTATACACGATGGGATGCACCTTCCTCATTTGAACATTTCTCAAGAATAGGGTTCACGGACTTAGCCAAAGCTCGGATTAAGATATTAAGGGCGACGGATTAAAGCGCACAATAGAGAGGGAGGCTGTTCAAAGAAACACAAAGCCATCCTCATTGGCTCGTTTATATGGCTGTGTTAACCTTCCAACGGTATCACGATGTCTGAATTGATCGAGTGTTTGGTGAAACGAAGGGCATGTAGTGAAAAATCCTCGTTACTGATAATTCCGATGGGGGAAATCCCCGACCGGAAAAATGCATGAAAAAAAAACGGCCGAGAAGCCGCCTTTTTGGTGCCACTTTGCCAATACAAAAGTGTGTTCTATGAGAAAAAACTACAAAGGAATTCTCTCGATGCAAAAGACGGATGCTCTAGAGCTGTGCTTGGTACTGTCTCTCTGTGTGTGATAAGCTGTGCTGCTTTGAGCTGTTTTTGGTGTATAAATAAGCGTTGAGGGAACCGCCCTTTTTTTTTGTTCGTCATCTCTCATCTATTGCTGTTCAACCACAATCATCGGCTTGTTGATATATTCTTGAAGTTATGGCTAGTGAATCGAGGGCTGGTCTGTACGTTGAGCCGGAGAGAAGAGTCTCTATAAGAGTGCGTGACCTCCGTGTTGATCTGAACTTAACCGCTGAAAAGAGAGAGAAGAAGAGGATGTGGCCATTGTTAGGCAACAATGCTGGTGAAAAGGCGGTTGGAGATGTTGAGGACGTGGAGGCACCAGTGTCCACGTCAAAGAAGATCCTTAGTGGACTGAGTTTGGACTTGGAGCCTGGCAAGGTCCTTGCCATCCTCGGAGGCTCAGGAAGTGGGAAGACAACGTTTTTAAACACGCTGGCCTCCAGAATGACGTTTTCAAAGAGATCTGATAATCCTTTCAAGTTCAAAGGCCAGGTCGAATATCAGCCTGCTAACCCAAACATATCCTACATGGTGCAAGAAGATCTGTTTAGCCCGGGGTTTACCGTCTTGGAGACACTACAGTTTACAGCCAGGCTGAGACTGCCTGGAACAACTCAACAGGAAAGGAACGACCTCATTGATTTCTTGTTCGATGGGTTGGATTTGAACAAAGTGAGAAATACAAGAGTCTGTGACTTCCAGTATAGAACCACGCTGAGTGGTGGTGAACGCCGTCGTGTATCTTTGGCAATTCAACTTTTGACTAAACCACAGGTATTGTTTTTGGATGAACCGACAACAGGCTTAGACTCGAACACTTCGATCCATTTGGTTGAAACGGTTAAGAAGCTTGCCTCTGAGTACGGTATAACGATACTGCTGACCATTCACCAGCCTCGTTTCGAAATTTTGGAAGCTGTTGATGAGATTTGCCTACTGGCAAAAGGTGGTAATATGATCTTCTCTGGAAGCTTGAACGAAAGCTATGAATATTTCGAACAATTCCGAACAGATGGTGATGTTGATTCCAATTTCGCTGATTTTCTTTTAAAAATATCCTCTGTTGATAAGACAGACTCAAAGGAAGTTGAGTTGCAAACTCAAAAGCGTGTTCATCAACTCATTGAAAACTGGAAGACTGTTCAACCTCTGAAGGAAATCGAATACTTTGACTCTTTTGCAGATGGTGGTCCATTGATAAAGTCTAAGCACATTGCCCATATATCCCTTTGCGGTCAAATCTGTGTCCTGCTAAAGCGAACCATAATACTCACGTGCCGTGATGTTGAATCTATGATCATGATGCAAGTGGTGATTATTGTACTATCAGTCATCTGTGGTTGGGTTTTCTATAAACCTGGTGGCTCATTAGCAGGTATAAGAACAACAACCTCCTCACTCTACGTGTGTTGTGAAGTCTTGGGTTTCATGCCTATGATGTACGAAATACAAAGACTCTGTATGACCGAAGGTAAATTCCTCTTGAAAGAACGTAAGGAAGGGATGTATTCAATACCTGCCTGGTTTATTGCCCGTCGATTAGCAAAGATGATTATGGAAGATGTTCCAGGATCTTTGATATGGTCATTGATTACCTTCTTCATGTGGGGGCTTGAAGAGACTTCAAACTTTGGTATTTTCTTCATTAATAACCTATTTGTCTACATGATTGGTATCGCTGTTGCACACTTGTGCTTTGTTCTTGGTAACTATAATTTCGGAACTGCAAGTTTAATCAGTGCTCTCTATTACCAGTTACAAAATTCTGCTTGTGGGTATTTCGTCAATGCCAGAACCATGCCTGTGTACGTGAGATGGACGAAGTATATCTCCAACTTCTGGTATAACTTTGGTTCTTTGGTGTCCAACACATTCACATCCTATATGGGTGATTGTCCCTATGAAACTGAAGAGATGTGTTACGAATACTCTGGTGCTTCAGTCTTAAATAGCTTGGGGTTCCCAGAGAACTGGACACTAACACCGTTGATGGCCTCATTTGGGTGGTACATTGGGTTGTATTCAGCAAGTGCAGTGTGGATATGGTACGTCACTCGTCGTGACTCTGTGAGGATTGTCAAAGAGAGGCGTTCTAAATTTGATGATTTGCAATTCCAACATTTGACAGAGATTGTTCCAAAGAGCATTGACGTGATTGAATCCCCTGACTGTAAAGTCACTGTGTCCTTGGATAACATCACTCTTTCATTGAAACCGACGTTACTCAAGAATACTATATTCCATCGTAAATTTGTCTCAAAGAACTTGCTTTCAAATGTCACAGTTTCATTTAAACCTGGTGTCAACGCTATCATGGGTCCATCTGGGTCTGGTAAGACTACCTTGCTGAATATGCTTACCGGCCGCACAGCCTCAAATATTGGTATCAAAGGTGATATGAAGTTGAATGGTACGTCAATACCACTTCAATTCCTTTCAAACATTGTATCTTATGTGGTTCAAGATGACTCTGTTTTGATTCCCACACTTACTGTGCGTGAAACTCTTTACTACCAGGCCAGACTACGTTTACCACCTTCACAGCATAACCGTATTCCTGGTATCATTGGTGAAATGATGAGAAAGATGGGACTTAGTGACGTTTGCAACGTTCCAATCGGAGATTCTCAGACAAAGGGTATATCTGGTGGTGAGAAGCGTCGTGTATCCATTGCTATTCAACTGTTAAACAACACCAAGGTGATGCTGTTGGATGAGCCAACCTCTGGTTTGGATTCTTTTACGAGTGCTAGCATTGTCTCATTGCTGGAACAGTTGGCTATCAGTGAAGATAAGACCATCATTATGACTATTCACCAACCGAAGTACGAGATATTTGAGAAGTTTGACAACATTCTACTGCTAGGAAATGGACATGTGCTATACGACGGTTCTCCTTCTTCTTTACAGGAGTATTTCAATGAATTAGGATATAGCCCAGAGTATGAGATGAACTTTGCTGACTACATATTGGATGTTGTTAATCAAAAGCCTGACTCTGAAATTGGTGGTGGTATTACTACAATGGAGAAATTGATTAGTGAATGGACCTCACATGTCGATTATGCTGAAAATTCATCTAACTTGAAGAACTTCAATGCGAAGCAGTTCAAACATCTTGTGAAGAAGCGTCAAAGTATCAAAGTCTGTTTCAGCCCTGTACTAGAGAGACAATTCAAAGTCATAATGAGAAACCCAGAGGTTTTATTCTGTCGTCTTGGTCAACCTTGTGGTGTTTCGGTTATCCATGCTTTGTATTTTGCACCTCTGAAGAATAACGTTGAGTCTATTTCGAATCGCTTAGGTTTGATTCAAAATGTTATGAACATGTACTATGTTGGGTTCTTGAACAATATGGCTCTGTACCCTGCTGAGAAGTTTACATTTTATCAAGAGTACCAGGACGATGTCTACTCTACAACAACTTTTATGCTCTGCTATCTGTTGAATGAACTGCCCTTTGAGATCTTGTGCTCTTTCATTTTCAGTATCTTTCTTGTCCTCGTCATTGGGTTACCACGTAATCCACAGATGTTCTTTTCGATGTTCTACCTAGGCTTCGTTGTGATGAACTGTGGTGAAAGTATTGGAATCATGTTTAACACGGTCTTTGACCATTTGGGAATTGCAACAAACCTTTTATCTGCTGTCTTAACCATCGGTATATTTATGGCCGGTACCATGTCTCTTGATATGCCTGTGTTGTTTGAGGCATTCAACTACATTAATCCTTTGAGTTATGCGGTTAAGGCGTTAGCCCAAGTTGGATTCAAAGGTCAAACGTTTGAATGTTCTGGTGGTGGTGATGAGTGTGTGTTGGATACTGGTGAGGCTGTGCTAGACCAGTACAACTTGGTGAGTAACTATGCCGTTAATATGGGTGTCATTGCAGCTATACTTGTCATGTATAGAATCGTTGCCGTTGTTGTTTTGGAGATCAAAGTGAGATACTTTTCGCACAGATGAGCTATGAATAGGACAAGTTACAGTGATAATTCAATGATAATAGTAAACAGAGACACAAGGGAAATTAGCTTTAGTTGGCACGAGTGAATGTATATATGAACAAGGTGATGAAAACAAAGGCATGAAGCAAACAAAGAACAAAAGGGTAAGATCAAACAGAGAGAACAAAAGCAAATAGTTGAATCCAGAAAACGAGATCAGTACAAAAGTATCGTTAAGAAATGATTAAGCAAGTTCAACATAGTTTGCTGGGAAGATACCTTCTTTGCCGTTAACTCTTCCAGTCCACCAGTCGTCTTGAGAATCCGACTTCTTTATTATAGTAATAACGTCACCTTTTCTGAAAGGCAAATCACCGGATTGTTCTCCTTCGAATGAGAACAGGGCAATAGCCTTTGGTCCCTTTGATTTCTCTGATCTTGGAGAGAATGCAGGCTTATCGGATATTGAGGATTTTCTGAATCTTCTGTCCAAATCGTCATAATCGTCGGAATTTCTGTTTGCTCTTCTTGATTTTGGGGTGTCATAACTATCATAGACGTCATCTTCCCATGAAGTTGGCTTTGACGATCTCGAATAGCTGTTGTTTCTTCCGTATGAGGATCTTTTGTTGTTGCTGCTATTGTTGTTTGAGCCACTGTTGTTTCCTCTTCTGCTTGAGTAGTAATCATCATCAGAGTCATCATTGTCGGAGTGTTTCGAAGACCCTCCTCTGTTTCCTCTTGAATAGCTCTCTGATCTATCACGGCTTCTTCTCTCAGAAAAAGAGCTCGTATCGGAGCCTGAGTCGAAATCTGGAATGTCAGAATAATAACTATCGTCGTAGTAGTCACCTGGTCTTCTCTTGGTGAAGGCCCTTGACTCCAGCACTCTAAAGAGAGCATCACATTCTGGAGGAGGTTCGACTCTACCAGACAGGATTTGCACAGCCTTACAGTTATTACCATAGAACTTTCTGTTGGCCTCTCTTCTCTCCACAATGGCAGAGCCTTCTAACGAGACACCTGCGAATAAGCCCTTAGTCTTGGAATAGGAGTAGATGGCAGCTGCACCCTTCAAAGAAGCAGTACCACCAGCCTCTGCGTTTCTTCCCAAGGGACCAGCAGCAACAGAGACGTTACCACCAAGTGTAATGGAACCGGCCTGTGCAAACGACTTGACGGCATCTTCAGTGTTGAGGATGAAGACGAAATCAGTCAACTCCACACCAACCTGACCACCGGCACCGGCACCGGCAGTAGCAATGGCAGAAGGTGGCGACCATGAGCCGTCAGGTAATCTAGCCACTATAACACCAGAGCCTGCTCTACCTGAGAACAAGAAGCCGGCCTTTAAAACAGTAAGGATTGCGAGGCCCTTTGCGTTTTGTAGCAGTTCTGGTGGGATCACCTGGTCAACACCGAGTATTTGATTCGGCTTGACAAAGTTCGCTAAGATCTTTGCAGCTTTTCTGGTTTGAAGTTAGTAACGTATTCATAGTCTTTCAGGCATCCATCACCAGCATTATCATGGGCAGCACCACTAGCACCACCATACGCATCACCCTAGTCACTGGACTAAGAGAATATCGAAACAGCACTGGATAAATGGGTGTAAATGTCCGGTATTAAAAGCACTCACTTTGTCTCGCTCTTTAAGCTTCGAGGAATCGGATTGTTGATACCCATTGTTGTTTGATAAGTTGGATTCCAATTGAAATGTCTCTAGAGCAACAACACACTGGGTAAAACAGGGAAGGAAGAAAGAGAAAGGAAAGGAAAATCGTTGGAGGAGAGCCAAAGGGATTAAAAGGGAGAAATCGGCTTTCGGGAAGAACCAAACGAGACAAACGCTCAAAGCGCAGCCCACACAATGTGGTGTAAGGATGTGGTGCCAGGGTATTGGTGTGTCGCGTACCATTGGGGTCGGGAAATGCCGGGCATTATCGGAATTGTGGTGGTGTTCGGGTGTTTAGGTGTCCGGGTGTCTTGAGTACGATGCCGACTCAGAAGCGCACTTGGGCTCTCTTCCATCTTCACCGTTTTATACCCTTTTGCAGCTGTGTTATGGCCGGTTGTTGAGTATTTGAGATGGACCCGGTAGATAAGACCTTCGATACCGTGTTCTATTGGACAAGCAAAGTGCAGAATGGACTGAAAAGCACTACCGACAGTGCTGTTGGTGCTGCTTCCTCGCTGAAGGACTACGTCGTTGACACTGTGAGCTCCACAGTTGATTCTGTCATTTCCAAGGGAGTTGATCCAGCAACGGCTGATGAGGCTAGGTCACGGTTTCCCAATTGGAACATTGTAGGGTTAAGAAACCTGGTGGATTCTCATAAATCCGTGGTGATAGCTGGTGGAGTACTGACCCTGGTCATTGGTGTGGGGCAATACCACTCGATAATGGGGAGCCGAAAGGCCAAGAGAAGAAGGGCAGAGAGGTTACCAAACGGTGCACGGAAAGACGTTGTGCTCCTGGTTGGATCCGTGTCTGAGCCTCTGACCCGGTACATATCTCACGATCTGGTCAACAGAGGGTTTATCGTGTACATAACATCGACACAGAGCTCCGCAGATAACAAATTCTTTGCAAATGAAGAGTACGAGGACGTCAAGTCGTTGATAATATCTTCAAAGTTCCAAGACGAAGGATTCAACAGGGATCAAATACGTAAATTTGATCTGTTGCTATCCTCTGATCATGTGCCGTTCCAAGGTGCCTCGCCAAACAAGCTATCGCTTGTCGGCGTTGTCTTCGTGCCTGATTTCTACTATCCAACAGGTAAATTCCAATCAATCTCACCAAGCATGTGGGAAAACAGCTTTGTCCAGAAATCGCTGGTTCCCTTAAACCTCTTGTCAAATGGACTAATTGCCCTGGCTGAGAAGTATGATTCCAACGTCATTTTCCTGACTTCAAACGTGGCGAGCCAACTATGTCTACCGTACAATGCACCTGAGTGCATCACAACGTGTGTGCTCCAAGAGGTCTCACTGGCCCTTTCTAGGGACTACCCAGCTCTGAACGTTACCAACCTGAGGCTCGGTGCCATTGCAATAACGCACAACAGTACGTGTAAGAAGTCTCTGGGCATCAAAGGCGACCATATACGTCTCCTCCACCACAAGCTGTTCGACCTGTTGTACTCCGACGACAACGCAGCTGTGGACTACGTCGGCTTTGGTGCCCGTCTCCTACAACTCTGCGGCAGTTGGCTCCCAAAATCCATCCTCCAGCTTCTGTACAGAATAGGAAGCTTCCATTAGCAAGTTCTTATAATATACGCAAGTAATTTAGTACGGAAAAGGCTCATCGGCTTTATCAAAGAGATCACCGCCCTGGCGACGACGAAATAAAAGAAAAAGAAATTTTAGCCTTTGAACTGTTGCGTCTCGAAGAAGCAAAATAGTGCATCGACCCGCATGTCCAATTTAAACTCCTCGCTGTCTGCCCTGTTTTACCCCTAAAAATCCCCAATCGCTGCTTTGTCAGCCTAAAATTTCATGTACGTCACCTGCGCGCTCGGTCAAGGGACATAAAGCAAAGGAAAATAGGGGCTCGATGATGGGTTATTTCACTGAGTAATATATTTGTGATGTTGGATTTGTCTCGTTTCCGGGGCTCGTATATAAACATCGAGGAATGCTCGATGTGAGGTTATACAGCGAGTTTTGTCCAGTGTCCATTATTTTGATCTCAGCTGTTCGTGTGTGTGTGCCTTTTTGAAGAGTTTGTGACTGAGTGTACTCATTCTCATTGGCTTTGCTGGGGGGAAGACATACGTAGGGAGAAGCAAAGTGAGCTAATAGCAAAGAGCAACCTTTTACGAGAAGGGGACTTGAGGCAAGAGTTGATTTTATTTATTAGAGGTGCCAATCGTTCCAATATCTTGCAGAGGTTTGTTTTGTTGTGTACTGCGGAGCAAATCAGCAAACAATGGTGCTTATCAAATTGCTCGCTAGCACGAGATCAGTGGTGAAGATTGTCGTTCCGGTGCTCGCACCTGTCTTCATCGTTTACGCGATATTTGACACGTTGAGATTCTTCAACGTTATTGATCTAACAAGAGACCATTTCCTCTCGAGTTTGGTGGACTTCCACTGCTATTCGGTGCTACAGCAGGGGTTCGAGCCCCTTTTGAACTTACCGAATGGATTGCTGGCAAATGTCCTGTCGATAACGCTCTTCTGCCTATATGCAGTTGCGACAGTACTATCGTTGGCTTATACGTTACTATTCCATGGCTTTTGCATCGCTTCGTCATTCGAGAAAAGATGGAGCCCAATCTATCAGCTGGCTGTTAGTTCCCTACATTGAATAGACTGATGTAACGATGAACATAAAAAATGCATGAATATGGTGAGTTTGTACGTAGTATTAGAACCCAAAGTTGAATGCACTCATATCGGGCTCTTGGAATGCAGCCTGTGGAGGCGGAGTATTGTTCTTATTTTGCTGTTGCTGTTGCTGTTCTTTTCTCTTGGTTTCATCCTCTTTCCTCTTTATGGAATCAGATGCCAATCCATACTTCTCCAATATACTCAACGCTGGAGAACCACCATCGACATCTGCTTGCCCTGTGTATCCAGTCAAGAGAGAAGTACGACGTCTAACGGCAGGAGAGAAGCCATACTTCTCCAAAATGTTCTCGCTCTCTTGTGTCATAGATCTCTGTAAATTGACAGAGCTGTCATTCTTCTTGAAATCTTCAGCCTTGATGAACTTCCAATTTCTAACGATATAGACTGATAGATAATCACACCCCATTCTGGTATAGATAGATGCAACTCTAAGAATAAACTCATTTTCAATCTGTGGAGTGATGCTCAAAGAACCTTCAAGATACTGCGCACTCTTTTCCCTCAAATTTTGATAGAGCACAAGTAACAAAGGATCATCCTCGATAAATAATCTGGATTTCTCGTTAATGATTACACCAGATTTCTCATCCTCGTTCAACACCTCGATTGGTGACTTGACCAAAGCTTGGATTACTCTTGGCTTGTCCTCTAACTTCCAATATATGTAACTAGTGGTCCATCTATCACCTTGCGAGACTGCACCAGACAACAAATGTTTCTTCAAAAGGTCCTTTAAAACTGGCCCGTTATCACCTTCGTAGATACGACAGACACCAACTGCAAGGTCGAGATCATTAACTTGTTTGATCAAAACATTTACTGCATCTTTCAAAGAGTTACCCAAGAGGAAGAAGCATGCAGCATCCATATATCTGTGCTTACTCAACAATACAAATGCATTCTTCAATGAAGCTTTCCTCCATCTCTCTTCACGGAAATCGTTCTTCAAGAAATTGAGCATCTTAGTCTGCTCTGGATGACCAACTGCGGTTCTCCAAAGTCCACTCAAAATTTGTTTCTTCTTCAGCGCTAGGTAGAAAATTGAACATTTACTTGGATCCCTTCTCTCACCACTGCGAAATTCGTTTTTCGCAACAGATTCAAACAACCTTAGAAGATCCTCATATCTTAACCAGTGTGCTAATCCATACTCCTTTGCTGTACTCCAAAAGAATTTATGGTCCTTTATAGATGTCTCAATTTGTTGTAGTAAAAGTTCCTTGGTCTCACTGTGCAAAGCCCAGTTGACATCTCTCATGGTGACTCGATCTTGGGTCCCCCTATGGAGTTGGTAAAGCTTCATACCCAGATAAAATTTTAACCCATTCTCATCAATTGATGAAATATTTTCATTCATGCCAATAACAGTTTCAATGATACTCATAAGGGTAATCTGCTGATGTCTCGTTAAATATGGTAATGAACAATTCATCAACTTTTCCTTCAAAAGCTCTGAAACAGTGGAGTTGAATTCTGTGTATGGCTCTTCAAAATCGTTACACTCTATGTACTTCTTATGGAAGAATTTTGTGACGTCAAAGTCAAGTGTAGACCCCAATTTGTCTGCTGTTTCTCCAGATAGCTCCAGCTCACGTATCTTCAAGAAAAGTCTGAGGAGGATTTCGTTGACAAGTTCAATTTTCTTATTGAATAATGCTTGAATTAAAAGCTGAGGATGGAAAACTGGTAAAGTACCGTTTAAAACTGTACAAAGGTTAATAATATCGTTTGATACGATGTTTCTTGACCCAATAGATTTTTTGGTAAATGCATCTTCTATGTTCAAGTTCTTATCAGATATGAATATCTGATTACCCGATCCAATAGCCAAAGTTCCATCCTTTAGCCAAACAGAGTCTCCAATGTTATGTGTTGTATAGCTCTGGATATCTGCCTTCTTTATTGCAAGGAAAGCGGGGTGTTTATTCGTATAGTCGTACCTCAACTGAGTGTAAAGAAGAGAATAATGCTCGAATCCGACAGCCAAAATACTCTGCTTATTTGCAGTACTTGTCCAATCGATATCACGCACTGGATGATCAAAAACTTCTTCATATTCCAAAACAGCCCTATTCAAGTCCCAGATCGTCAATCTCTTTTTTGATTCATCAACAATGGCGAATTTATCAGCTGTTGAGCCACGAATATACGATGCATTGGTTATACCTGTTTCAATCTCGTTTCCTTCGACCCAAACAATCTCATCATTATTGATCTTTGCCCAGAATCTTCTCAATTTACCTTTTGTATCTATCATCGAGACAATTTCCTTGTTTATAAATCTAATTGGACTGACAGGGTCAATCGGTTCGATCAAGTGGATCTCGTCATGGTTAACTGGCAAATCCTGTATCTTGAAAGATACGAGTTTCGATTTCGTTACAACCCAAGCTCTTGAATGGTGTTTGTATATTGCAACGACGAAGTGCATATCCTGAGAATGAGGTTCAATGGGTATTATGGCGAATAGCTCTGGATCTGAATGAGCATCGATAAAAAATCTGAAATCTTCCACAGCAACCTTATGGGTGGTATCCCAAAGAATCAGATATTTCCCACATATTGTGAGCAGCTGGTTACCGTTATCAAATAGGACTGCTTGTGAAATGGGCTCTGGTGTATTCACTGTAGAATGTTTATTCAAAGTCACGTTATCTTTCAACTGTTGGGGTATCCAAATGGCATTTTCATCAAACCTTGAACAGCTCAGCATTGCCTCACCATTACCGGTTTTAATAATTCTTTGGATAGATTTAAAATGACCAGTCAATTTATGTGCTAAATAACCGGTTTCCTCTTGATGGTCCTGCCACAAGAAACTGAGATCTGTTTTGACGTGTCTAATGACCCCGTTAATATCATGGATTAACACCGATAACTCATTCTGTGGAGTCACCAGGGGTTCTGCAAAATGTACCAGATCAGGAAATTGCACCATTGAATGTGGACGTAATTTTATACGTCTTTTGTTCTCAACGTCAACGTCTAAAAGTCTAGGTGGGTTTTGTGACAATTGTCTCATTGGATAAACAGTACAGTATCCTTTGTCATCGATGACAAATGCCATATCTGTGTTCAAACTATCTTGTGCTGGGATCAACTCGCCGTTTTTAACAGCTGTGTAGAGCATCTCCTGAACCAAGTATTGATCCAAGACCCATACGTATCTCTTTCCCTTCTTATCACAGTCGCCATCAAACAGGTCGATTGAGCCCCAATGCTGTACTATATGTGCATTCTCGTACTCATGGCTTGACCAAATTCTCAAGACGGCGTCCGTTGCAAGAGAATACAGTGTGTTCGTAAAGGTTTCAGGTTTAGGCAGATTGAATGGATCAAATTTCTTCCAACGGATCTCTGTGATTGAAGAAGGATGCAGCAGCAGCGTCAGGTCAAACAACGAATCATCTGCAAATGACACCCGGCTCCATACCTTCAGCAACCTGTCATATTTACCACAACTTGCGATGAGAGTGGAATCGTGGGAGATCTTCGCCAAATAAACCGGGATCGACTGCTTCATAGACCAAAGCTTTTTAACCGAAACCTCGCCGAGCTCCTTGGACACTCTCCAGAGTGTCAAATAGTCCGACCCACACACAATCTCACCGTTCAACCCCCAACTCAGCGTGTTGACCGTGGAATGGTCCTCGTTATCGAGGCGAGTGCAGAACTGCCATCTCGGGTGCTTCATGAACTCGCTCATCGGCTCATAAATCAGCACCTGCGACCCAACCGCCACGGCAATATCACCGGTTACAGTGTCCATATCCACAGCGGCAGCGTCAGAGTCCAAGTAAATAGTTTGCAACTCTTTCATGTCATCCGCCAAAACGATGAGGTTATTGCCGGAACAGTAGACCACAACACTGTGCGATTTCCAGTAGGCCTGTGTTACCGCTTGCGGCCGCTTCGAAGGTTCTCCGGGCACAAAGCTGAACGTCATTTCATCAAGCGCTTGGTAGTTCTATGCGTTTTGTTTCTCTTTATCTTGATGTTTATGTTTATGTTTACGTTTTTTTACCGCTGGGGGGAGAACCCTTTTTGTGTCCGTTCTTTCTGGTGATGTGTCGTTTCGTTGTTCCCTGCGCAGCGCTAGGCGGGCGGCCGCTGGGCTACGCTACGCTGCGCTAGGCTCGGGGATGGTTCGAGGGCCCCAGGGGGGGAGAAAAATTTTGATGAGGCGGGATTTCACTCTGATGGCACCGTTAGGAGCTCACAGGCTGATAAAGAAACATTTAACTAAGAATGGGTGGAAGGTGAGTTGAACAGGCTCCTTTGCTTTTTGTCTATGGTGTGGAGAGGACTCGTACGCTAACATTCTGCGATTCCCGTTCGACAGTTGTAAAGATCAGAGAAAGGCCGTTGCGGTGTGTCTTCAAAGATCACCATGTGTTCTGATAGAGAGACACACGCCCACAGAGTGTATTGAGAACCCAGAGTTGTCACAGAAGCTCCCAGAGCTGTGTAAAGCGCAGATGAAGGCGTTCTGGGAGTGCAGAAAGGGGTTCTTTGACATGTCCAAACGTTTCAGAGGGAATGCGCCTCTATCTACGGGCAAATACGATCAGCAGTTCGACAACCTGAGCTCGGGGAACTTTGACCCAGTGGAGGAGTACCATAAGCTAAAGGTCCTCGATAGTGGGAATAAGGATTGAATATGTCTGTTTGTATGCTGTATAACCTTGTAAATAATTCAATATTGGAGACATCTTTCAAATGGCCGATGCCACAATGGCCTCGTATAACTCGTCAACGTGATCGCTAGTCACTATAGGGCTGTTGAACACCACTCTGAGGAACTCTCCGCCATCAACTCCGCTAGCAGGCGTATAGTCGACGAGAAACCTTCCAGAGTTATAGAGCTGGTTGGCAATTTTCCGTGTTGTTTGGGTATTAACCTCATCATCGTCGAAGTCACCATTCTTATTGAAGAAGAAGCAAACTTGTAAGGCAGGTGGTGGGTTTGAAGAGATCAACTTGAATCTCCGTTTGTCCTGTGCCACTTTGTTAGCGAAGTAACTAGCCAACTCATACGCATGGTTGATTCTCTCCTCATATCCTCTGGAGCCATAGTACATCCAGCTCATGTACAGTTTGAGGGCATCAGGTCTTCTGCCACATCCCATGGTGCCATCTGCTAGATCGTAGAAGGAATCATCAGCATGAGTATTGTGGAACAAGTAAGGCGCACTCAATGAGTTTGCCGTTTGAAACGTACGATCGTCTGGCACGAGTAAGAAAGAACAAGTGGTTGGTACGCCTAGAAGTTTGTGAGGATTCACTGTTAATGAGTCTGCAAGATGAGACCCTTTCAGCTTGTGCCTATAGGTTTCACTAAAGATAACGTTACCACCCCAACTACCATCGACGTGAAACCACATGTTGTTGGCCTTTGCGATGGCAGAAATCTCCTCTAGAGGATCAAAGGAGCCTAGGACCGTTGTGCCTGCAGTGGCATTGACATACAGTGGTGTAAAACCTTTGGATTTGGCAAGCTGGACTTGATTGTTCAGATCCTCAACGTCCATGCATCCGTTAGCATCAACTTGCACTTTGATGACAGACCCGGAACCCATCCCCGCCAAGATGGCAGCCTTTTCCAATGAATAGTGTGAGTGTTCAGATGTGAATATCACAAATCTATGGTCCGCATTACCGTGTGTCTTTGTCTGTGGGTATAGGATCGATCTTGCCATGTGCAAACTTGTTATATTCGACCATGAGCCACCAGGAAACGTCAATCCACCGGCAAACTTCCCATTAAAGCCAAACAGTTCAGCATAAGAATGGGACACTTTCTTCTCGATTAGGGTCAAAATGGGAGACACCGTGTAGACGTGGCTGTTCGTGTTCAGCAGACTCAGAAGTATATCAGCGACAACTCCAATCGGGTTTGTAGATGCATATAGCTTATCTAGGAACCCGGGGTGCCATGTAACGACAGAATTCTCCAATACTTGTTCAAAAACCTCATACACTCTCTTGGTGCCGTACCCAGTCCTTGGGGTCTCCAGTGGAACACATTTCAACAACTCCTGGGGAGAGACATTCTTACCGAGCGATGCACCTGGTTCGGAGGACTTGGAAATATGGGAGAGGATCAAGGGTTTGAGTTCTGTGAGCAATTGGTCGAGCTCCTCCACTCGATTGGATTCCAATGTACAACTGATCTTCGTCATAGTCCTGTGGAGCCTCTAGTTTATCTGATTGGGCACTTTCCTATGCGATTATTGGTCTTTTTATGTCCAAAAGCTGTCTGTCCATTAGCATATTTTTTTTTTCCATGTGCACTTTGCTTATGCATTTTTCAGCTCGCTTAAAACGCTCTCGTTTGCATGCAATCTTAGCTAAACGACAACGGCTGTGGACAAATGGAATTGACGATGACTAAGTGTGTTATGTGGATAAAACCAGCGTATATTACCATCAGATATATAGTTCCACTGAGATAGGAGAAGAACATCACAATAGTGGAAATAATACTCATCGTCATGGGAGCTGAAGATGGCGGTTATGAGCCCCGACTCGTGAGTTATTTTGAAGTCATCGGCACCGAGTATTAATTGGTGTTGGGATGTTTCTTGACACATTTCTTAATAGCCTGCCTTGAACCGTTTAAATCAGTTGAATGATATCTAACCTAGAAGCTATTGGTGTTATGAATTTGACGGTTGTTTGATTCGATTGGTAGCTATCATAATCAATAAATATTTCAGTTAATTATGAATTTAATTTTATAATTGTAGAGTATACTCTATGACTAATTTTTCTGAATCTTTTAGGCAGAACATTTTCTCATACAAGTAAGCACTCAATGGGATAATAAATTGGTAAAGGAATGGAATAATGGATGAATAACGAAGATATTCACTCGTGATAGATCCTAATAAGCATGGAATTAGATATATACAGCAAACAACTCCCATAAGATACTGTTTAATATCAACACCTTCGCCCTGTTGTGCTGCTCCAACCAACCACACACTTCCCTGCGATGACCGAGAAACAACTAGAGCCGAAATCACTAAAAGTATCGATGACTTATTAGCACCAATTCGCTCGTATAACCACATGGAATCACTTCTACTCAATAGAACTTTGGGAAACATATCGCATGAGAACTTTAGGAAAGTTGCCACTGAATCGTTGTACTATCGTATAGGCCCATTGAACGAACCAAAGTTCCCCCTGAGAAAGAGGCCCGTCCCTATAACGTGCTTGAACTTCAACACAAGTAAGGTACGACGCCATGAATACCTGCTCTCCGGAGACGCTGGTTCATCTCTCAAGCTGTGGAAAGTGGGATCACAAAGAGCAAAGACCGAAATGCTTGGTGATATTAATAAGGGTAACGGGGGACATAAGTTTGGCATCACATATGTCCAATGGTGGCCATTCGACGATGGGATGTTTCTCTCGAGCTCCTACGATACCTCGCTGAAAGTTTGGGATTCGAGTACACTAGAAGAAGCATTCACGTTTGAGCTTGGGATGAAGATTAACAACTTTGATATATCGCCTCTAGGAGACTCTTTGATCGCCGTTGGATGTGATAGTACTCATGTTAGGATCATGGATCTGAGAAGTACGTCTTCTGTTCAGAGTCTGAGTGGACACAATGGGACAGTGCTGAGTTGTAAATGGAGCCCAACGGATGGCAACATATTGGCAACCGGTAGCTCCGAAGGGGAAGTTAGGTTGTGGGACGTGAGAAAGACAAATGCATGTGTTACTCAATTAGACCTCTATAGAACAGATAAGGATGGTGCCATTGCAAAGAACCAAAGTAAGAGAATTGGGGTGTTGAAAAGTAGTGCAAAGGCCCACTCCTCAAATTGCAATGGAATCTGTTGGCTGGAAAACGGCAAGACGTTGCTCACCACTGGTGGAGACGATAAAATCAGAGTGTGGAACCTGGATATACCCGGTGGTGTAAATACGCTGCTAAACTTTGGCCAATTTGTCAAGAACAAATCACCCGTATACAAGACTATGATTCTAAGCCCTAACTGTGAGACAGAGGTTCAATATCTGTGGTACCCCTCCGACAACGGAGAAATCCTGGTCTTTAGGCTCATGGACGGGAAGTTGATGAACAGATTAAGAAGAAACATCGAAGACAACGTCAGAAGCACTTCTGTTGCATACTTGGGCCACAACAGTGTGAAATATTTTTCAGGAACTGTTGATGGAAGAATCCTCGCATGGGGACCAACATCTGAGGAGACATCAGACACCGAATAGAATGTTACTATCCCATCGTCTATTGGTTATTGTAGCTTAAGCACTGAGCATATAGGTACAATATCGTGGTGTAAGGATGTTTGGGTGTCTGGATGTATCACGGGTGCGCGTACCGCACATCCCATTCTGGTTAAAACAAGCGATGAGCCCTTCACTCACTCCTCCATTTTGATAACAAGCAAGCCTCTCTGTGGGTACTTAGAGCCTAAACATGTCACACGAGCACGGAGGCCCAGGTGCTCCTGGTGAAGATGACTCCAGCAGTACTGGTCTTTCTGGTATGGGCGTGAGGTTGGTGGAGCAGACTTCCTTGGAGCAGAAGATTCAAGCCAATGCCACCAAGCTCTTCAAGGAGAAAGAGATTGAAAGCGACCACAAGCGGCTCGAAAAGGCGAGAAACACTGTAACGAGGATCAGAAATGAGATATCAAAGTTGAAAGACCGTGTTAATCATCCACGGACGAGGATTTCTCAGAAAATGGAGCTGAAAGAGCGTATTCGCTCCATGACAGAGGAGCAACTGAAAGAGGCCTTACAGGATGTGAGGGATATTGAAGGACGGTTAAGGCGAAACATGACTGCTGGCGGTGAGCTGAAGAGCGAAGAGGGAATGGCTGGTAGACTGCCGAATGAATCAGAGAAAGATTTCCTGATTCGAACGGGTAAGATCACAGCGTTTGGTAACTCCAGTGGGTTTGTCGTTGAGGATGAGGATAGAGAAGCCCGTGACAATGGCTATGAAGCAGAAGCTTCACACCAGAACTTGAAAACACCTGGATTATCGAACGTAAGCGGAGCCGTAAGGAAAAGGGCGAATGATGAGGACGTTGACTATACAGAAGTCAGTTCTGATACCGAGACTGATGAAGAATTCCAGACCAAAAGGCCGAAACTACTAACTGATGATGAAATCAGAAACGTGGATGACGGGGTAGAGTCCTTTTATCAAGATCGTCTGAACACATGGATTCATAAGAGATCCAAATTGAGAGGACCAGATAACGACGACAAGACACCAGAATGGCGTAAACCTCATCCAACACACCCTGATGCTTCTCTTCATCACGATTTCAAGATCCCAGGTGATATATACCCGTCTCTCTTTGACTACCAAAAGACAGGCGTGCAGTGGCTATACGAGCTTTACCAACAAGAGCACGGTGGGATAATAAGTGATGAGATGGGACTGGGGAAAACCATACAGATCATTGCCTTCATTGCAGGGTTGCACTATTCAGTAATGCTTGACAAGCCTGTCCTGATAGTTTGCCCTGCAACCGTGATGACACAGTGGGTCAACGAGTTCCATACTTGGTGGCCACCTCTCAGAACGATGGTGCTTCATTCTATCGGTTCTGGAATGAGTGGGAAGACAGGGACGGAAGAGGAGCTGGAGAATCTGATTACTTCAATGGAAGACGAAGACGAAGATACTGGTGTTAAAAGAACACTAAGCTCTATCAAATCTGAATCTAACGCTAAGGCCATTATGGAGAAGCTCATCGAAAAGGGACACGTTCTCATCACAAGCTATGTCGGGTTAAGGATCTACGAAGAGCACCTCCTGAAGGTGAATTGGGGATACGTTGTCTTAGATGAAGGCCATAAAATCAAGAATCCAAACTCAAACATCACAATATTGAGTAAAAGATTGAAAACACATAACAGGGTCATTCTTTCAGGAACACCAATCCAAAATAACCTAGTGGAACTTTGGTCTTTGTTTGATTTCATATTCCCTGGGAGATTGGGCACTTTACCAATATTCGAAGAGGAGTTTGAAGAGCCCATAAAGAGAGGTGGATATGCTAATGCAAGCAACATGGAGGTGAAAATCGGATACCAAAAGGCTGTGATATTGAAGGATCTCATCCAACCCTTCTTGTTGAGAAGAATGAAAGTGGATGTGGCAAGAGACCTGCCATCTAAGCAGGAGTACGTGCTCATGTGTCGCTTGACAAAGTACCAACGAGAACGGTACGTTGAATTCTTACGCTCAAGGGAGTTCAAAGCCAATTCATACCTGGGGGCCATTGATACGCTGAGGAAGATATGCAACCACCCAGATTTAGCTGATGCCAAATTCAAGGAGTCAGATCCACGATACGGCGACCCAGCACGTTCAGGGAAGCTCCAAGTAATCAAGTCGCTGCTGCCGTTGTGGAGAAAGCAACACCACAAGGTCTTACTCTTTACTCAGACAAAACAGATGATGACCATCTTGGAGAAGTTTTTGCAATCCTCAATGGGCCCAGACTATAGATATATGAAAATGAGTGGTGAAACCAACATTGGAAAGAGACAGGATATGATTTATTCCTTCAACAATGAGCCTTATGATCTTTTCTTGCTGACGACGAAAGTTGGTGGTCTTGGTGTTAACTTGACAGGGGCTGACAGAGTCATAATATTCGATCCAGACTGGAATCCCTCGACTGATTTACAAGCTCGTGAGCGTGCCTGGAGACTGGGACAGAAGAAAGAGGTGTTGATTTATAGATTGGTCATTGGTGGCTCTATTGAGGAGAAAATCTACCATCGTCAAATCTTCAAGCAGCTCTTAACTGACAAGATCTTGAAGGATCCGAATCAGAAACGGTTCTTCAAGAACAGTGAACTTCATGACCTCTTCACTTTATCAGATTTTGACGAGGGTGATGGCTTCACCATAGAGAAACCGAAGAACAACAAGGACGGCGACGATTTGGCTAAGATTACAGAAATAGAAGGAGTGAGCAAGCTGGAAGCGTTCAAAGAGCAGCAGAAGAAAGAGACAGAGGATGACAGGCTCATGGGTGGGCTGTTGAACAATAACATCATAGCTCAAACCATGAAACACGATGCTGTTGTTGACCAGCATTCTAAACCAAAGAACGACATGGCTGATGTTGAGGCTCTTCAGGCAGCTCACAAGGCCCTTGAGGCTTTGAAACAGTCCAGAAGACAAGTGAAGAAAGCTGGCGTGGGCATCCCTACTTTCACAGGTAAAGTGGGACTTGCTGGTAAGAAGGCCACTTTATCCAAGCTTGGTGCAAAGTCTTCTTCATCAATCTTGTCAAACTTGAAAAAGCTCAAGGAACCTCAGCTTGGACCCTCTGGTCATACCAAGACAATAGGTGATATGAGGTTGTACCTTGAGAAACAGCCCAACCGTTTTGCCAAATCCGGTGACATTTTGAAGGCTTGTAACGTCGATATAAAGAAGAAGAAGGATTTGACCATGATCCGTACAATGCTCAAGGGCATTGCAAACTGGGACTCACAGAGATCTGGCTGGGTGTTAAAGGACGACTTCTAAGTAGAAAGGATGGGATTATAGCAGCACGTGCATTGTGAATTTAATGATTTATGAGGAGATAAATTAGTAGGAACGACCAAACATTGTGTAGTTGATGGCCTTCTCACCACACTTGACACACTTTGTCTCTGGCTTCAACTCTGGCTGGTTGAATGGGATACAGAGCGACTTTGCACCCATGGATGGGGCCTTCTCATCCACTTCCTCATCCTCGCCGTCATCCTTCTTAGCAGAAGAGTCCTTGATGTCCTCTTCACACTCCATACGGCCACACCATGGGGACAAGATGACGTTCTTAGCGTTGAGTGCTGGGACAAAGTCCTTCCAGTCCTCAACGAGGATTCTGTGAGAATCGAATGCCTCCTTAGCCTTAGCGAAGAGGTCATCGTGCAATTGGTCCAAGATCTTTGGCAACTCCTCTTCAAGAGAATCGAGAGAGAGATTGAACTTCTTAGAGTCGTTACGACGAACCACGGTGACCTGCTGCTTCTCCAAGTCCTTTGGACCAAACTCCAGACGAAGTGGCACACCCTTAAGCTCCCAGTCGGAGAACTTCCAGCCTGGAGAGTAGTTATCACGGTAATCACCGATGGCTCTAATGCCAGCCTTATTCAATCTTGTTTCAATGGCCTTCACACCATCCAAGATGGCATTCTCTTGTTCCTTCGTGGTCTTAACGGTCAAACCACATGGAATGATAACAGCTTGGGTTTGAGCAACTCTTGGTGGGATGACAAGACCCTTGTTATCCGAATGAATCATAGTCATGACACCAATAACACGGGTGGACAAACCCCAGGAGTTTTGCCATGCAAAGAGCTTTGGCTTATCTGGACCTTCAGGGTTTTCCACGGAGATGTTGAACATCTTGGAGAAGTTCTGGCCAAGACAGTGAGAGGTACCACCTTGGATACCACGTCCAGTAGCTGGGATGTAACCTTCCACAGTGGTTGTGAAGAACCCACCAGCAAACTTCTCCTTTTCGGTCTTCTTACCTTTAACCACTGGCACAGCGAGGAGCTCCTCATAGACAGCAGCGTAGAAGTCCAAGATTTGCAACACCTCTTCATTGGCCTCTTCAAAGGTCAAATGAGCAGTGTGGCCTTCTTGCCACAAGAACTCTCTGGTTCTCAAGAAAGGTTGTGGATGTTTGAACTCCCATCTAACCACGGAGTTCCACTGGTTGAGCTTCAATGGCAAATCTCTGTGAGACTGGACCCATTTGGAGTAATATGGATACATGACGGTCTCAGAGGTTGGTCTGATGGCAATTGGCTCATCCAGCTCCGAGCTACCGGCCCTGGTGACCCACGCAACCTCTGGAGCAAAGCCTTCAATGTGGTCCTTCTCCTTCTCCAGAACTCTTGAAGAGACAAAGAGTGGGAAAGAGCAGTTCTTAACACCCAGGGCTTTGATTCTGGTGTTCAAGAAGTCCTGGATAACCTCCCAGATGAAGTACGATGCTGGTCTCATGATGTAACAGCCTGAAACGTCGTAGTACTCGAGCATTTCACCCTTGGTCAAGATCTGCTGATACCAGCCTGGGAAGTCGAGGAACTTATCGACAGTGACACCGATGAGCTTAGCATCCAACTGAGCCTTGTTCTCCTTCTTTGCAGCAGAAGCATCCTTCTTAGGAGCAGCAGCCTCCTTCTTCACCTCTGGCACAGCAGAGAAGTCCACTGGGATCAGCTCGACACCTGTGGTCTCCAAGTAGCCCAAGATGTCCTTACCGGACACGCCAGCCTTAGCGGACTCAGTGGCCAGCTCGTAAACCTGGTCCTTTGATAGGGCCTCATCGACAAGCACTTTGATCTTGCCAGCGTGCTCCTTGGTCACAGAGGCGACGGAGAACTCCTTAGCGTGTACGCCGAAGAACTCCTCCACAAGCTCGTCCTTAGCAAGACGTGGCTCCTTGACGCCGGCAGCGTGGGCAATGGCACTGGCTGGAGTCTGTGTGGAGTGGAGAGCAAAGACGACAACAGGGACAGGGACAGCGGTCTTAGCGGTCTTTGGCTTGAAGACAAGCGATTTGGTAGCGTTCAGGCCCTGGGAGGACACTTGAGCAATGGAAAGAGCAGCAAGAGAAGCCTCTAAAGCCATTTTGATTTGTCTTGATTTGTCTTGTTTATGGGTTCGGTGTTGAAATTTGTCCGTGAAAAGTTGTCGAAAGTTTGTTTTTTATCTTTTGTCGATGCGCGGGACATTTTTGAGTGGGTTTTTCGCCTCGCGGGTTTGTCCTGTCGCTGATTTTGATTTCCAGCGAGGATAGCGTTTGTGCATGTCCCTTGGGTGGTTATCGTGGCCATGTCCCTTCGGCTTTTGGGGTGGTGGTTTGTCCCAGCTGGCAAGGGGAAGGAAGACAAGACGAGACAAGAGATCAGAGAGTTGTGGATAGGCTTACACAGGCGAGTACACGGCACAGATGCTTCGATCATGTGGGCTTCATCAGATGTGATCACTGAGTAGGACTCAATCAATTGGACTCAATCAGCTGCGGTTGGTTGGCTCAACGGCCACCATTTAGTGTCAAGCCCATCCGGGTAACTCATCGCGCCAGTTGTCCCGTTTTTTCTCTTGCGTGGCCGTGGTCGAAGTTGGCCGGTTTGGCGAGGTAAAAAAAAGTGGACATTTTCATAAACTCTCGCCAATCTTTGACTCATCGCAACATAACTCTGGACAAGTAGTCATTCACAATTGCCCAAAGGCTCCGAAAGAGAACAACAAAAGCTTAGAGATGTCAACTTTCTACGTGAAGGACACAGGTGTCGATGAGGTCGGTGCCGGTAGCGAGACCAAGCCATTCCAAACTGCCGCTTACGCGATTTATACCGATGCAAGTGCCAAAGTGCTCGTCTACAAAGAGGACGAGGAGACCAAGGGGTTTGTAGAGATCTCGTCAAGTGCCCTGAAGAAGGCTAAGAAGGGTGCCGAGGGTCTTAAGAAGAAGGCAGAGAAGGCCAAATTGGCTGCTGAACAGCAAGCTGCAAGAGATGCCGAAGAAACTGCAAAGAGACTGGAGGCCATGAAGATTGAAATCAAGGAGGATGCGTCCTTGCCAGAGGCTAAGAGATCCAAGATTAAAGATTTGTCTCTCGATAGTGGTAGAGTCAGAGTCTCTGGCTGGATCCACAGATTGCGTCTCCATAAGGATAAGGCCTTCTTGGTCATCAGAGACGGTACAGGGTTCCTTCAAGCTGTGTTGTCTGGCGACCTCGCCAACGCTTACCAGACCCAGACTTTGACCTTGGAGTCTACAGTTACTCTTTACGGTACCATTGAGAAGTTGCCAGAGAACAAAACAGCAGCTGGTGGTATTGAAATCGTTGTTGACTTCTACAAAGTTGTTGGTTTGGCTCCTTCTGGTGATGATGCATTCTCTAACAAGATCCAGGAGAATGCTGATCCTTCTTTGTTGCTTGACCAGCGTCACTTGGCTCTCCGTGGTGAAACCCTTGCCGGTGTTATGAAGGTTCGTGCTGCTTTCCTCAGAGCCATCAGAAGAGTTTATGACGAAGAGTCCCTTACAGAGGTTACTCCACCTTGTATGGTTCAAACCCAAGTTGAGGGTGGTTCAACATTGTTCAAGTTGGATTACTACGGCGAAGAGGCCTACCTCACACAGTCCTCTCAATTGTACTTGGAGACCTGCTTGCCGGCTCTTGGTGACGTTTACTGTATCCAGGAATCATTCAGAGCTGAGAAGTCCCATACTCGTCGTCATTTGTCTGAGTATACCCATATCGAAGCGGAGTTGGCATTCCTTACATTTGACGATTTGCTGTCGCACATCGAAAGAGTCATCACCAAGACTGTCCAGTACACTTTGGAGGATCCAATCGCAGGCCCAATCATCAAGCAGTTGAACCCAGACTTCCAACCTCCAACCCTACCATTCAAGCGTCTTGCCTATGCCGATGCCATCACCTGGTTGAGAGAACACGGCATCAAGAACGAAGAGGACAAGGAGTTCGAATTCGGTGATGATATCGCAGAAGCTGCCGAGCGTAAGATGACTGACACCATCGGCGTCCCAATTCTGCTCACTCGCTTCCCTGCCGAGATCAAATCCTTCTACATGAAGCGTTGTTCAGACGATAGAAGAGTCACAGAGTCTGTTGACGTGTTGATGCCTACTGTTGGTGAAATCACCGGAGGTTCCATGCGTTCCGAAGGCTTGGACGAACTGATCGAAGGCTTCAAGCGTGAGAACATCAAGGACTACGAGAAGGCCTACTACTGGTTCATTGACCAGCGTAAGTACGGTACCTCTCCACACGGTGGTTACGGTTTGGGTACTGAGCGTCTTCTCGCCTGGTTGTGTAACAGATTCACCGTCAGAGACTGCTCCCTCTATCCACGTTTCAGTGGAAGATGTAAACCATGAAGACGGTTACGTATTATATAGATTTCCATCATCTAATCATACTTCATCTCTCTATAATACGTCTCAAGCCTGTATCACCAACCCCATTATGGCTTCCTAATCGGGAACACGACGAGGATGACTCTTTCGCTGAAAGCGGACAGCGCCGCCAAAGCGGGTAGAAAAAAAAATTTCCACCTTCGTCCATAGTTGATGGGGAAACTTATCAATTGAGATTAACGAGCTTGCTTTGGAAGGCTTTAGAGATAATCAGTTCGTATCCATTGAGTATAGCTATGTCTGCACCAGCTAAGTTGTGGGGTGGCCGTTTCACCGGCGCCACTGATCCATTGATGAACCTTTACAACGCGTCTCTTCCTTACGATAAGAAGATGTACGCTGCTGACTTGGAGGGCACCAGGGTGTACACCAGTGGTCTGCAGAAGATTGGCCTGTTGACAGAAGAGGAGCTCTCTGAGATCCACCGTGGATTGGAATTGATCAAGGAGGAGTGGTCGCAGGGCAAATTTGAAGAGAAGGACGGAGACGAGGATATCCACACGGCCAATGAACGTAGATTGGGTGAGATTATTGGACGTCAAATTGCCGGAAAGGTCCATACTGGCCGTTCAAGAAACGACCAGGTTGCCACTGATATGAGACTTTACGTCCGTGAGCAGCTGGGTAATCTGTCTAAGATTTTGAAGGACTTGATCGAAACCATCGTCAAGAGAGCAGAGTCCGAGATTGACGTCTTGATGCCAGGTTATACCCATTTACAGAAGGCCCAGCCTATCAGATGGGCTCATTGGTTGAGTATGTACGCCACGTACTTCACAGAGGACTTCAACAGATTGCAACAGATCATTGAAAGGGTCAACGTTTCTCCATTAGGTGCCGGTGCACTTGCAGGTCATCCATACGGAATCGATAGAGAATACCTTGCTGAAAACTTGGGATTTACCGGTGTCATTGGTAACTCTTTGACTGCTGTCTCTGACAGAGACTTTGTCGTTGAAACCATGTTCTGGTCTACTCTTTTCATGAACCACATTTCAAGATTCTCCGAGGACTTGATCATCTACTCCTCTGGTGAGTTTGGTTTCATCAAGCTTGCAGACGCCTACTCCACAGGCTCCTCTCTGATGCCACAGAAGAAGAACCCTGACTCCTTGGAATTGCTCAGAGGTAAGTCAGGTAGAGTGTTCGGCTCCCTCTCTGGATTCCTCATGTCCATCAAATCTATTCCTTCAACTTACAACAAGGACATGCAAGAGGACAAGGAGCCATTGTTCGACTGTCTGATCACTGTGGAGCACTCCATCTTGATTGCCACCGGTGTCATCTCCACTTTGAACATCAACAAGGCCAAGATGGAGGCTGCCTTGACCATGGACATGTTGGCCACTGACCTTGCTGACTACCTCGTCCGTAAAGGTGTTCCATTCAGAGAAACCCACCACATCTCTGGCGAGTGTGTCAAGCTCGCAGAGGACGAGAACCTCAGCGGAATCGACCAATTGACTCTGGAGCAGTTCAAGAAGATCGATTCAAGATTTGGTGATGACGTTAAAGACGTCTTCAACTTTGAGGCCTCTGTCGAGAGAAGAACAGCCACAGGTGGTACTGCCAAATCAGCAGTTCTCAAGCAATTGAAGAACCTGAAGGATCAATTGAACTAAGCTGATGCACCTATCTATACGTTTACACATATTTATATATTAAAAGCATTGAATAAGAGGTGTTTAATAGGTGTTTGATAGTAGTGGAGTAATTAACCCGGACACCCATAGTTAAGGGAGTGGAAAAACATAGGCGAAGAGGTTGTTGGTGATGAACCAAACACAACGCTTCAGAAGGCCAAAGCGTGGAACAATGAACTCCGACAAACCACAGCACATCTACCAATTAGACTCGTTCAGACTGATAGTGCTGAGGGTGCTGGAGTTGTTTGTGCACAAGTCGCTCGACGAGACGATCTCGCTGACGAAGATGGCACAGGTGATAAACACCAACCCGATGTTGTTGTTCTGTAGGGAGCAGATGAAGCTTACCGAGCCCCAGGTTGACTGTAAGAAAGTTGTGACGATACGGGATGTGATACTGTCTATAACAAAGATCTTCAGCTCTTCTCAGATACACATCATGGAGAACAACGACTATTTCCGGCTGAAATTGACCAGGGAGCAGTTCCAAGATTTGATCAGCCGGGTGTACGACGCGTACAAGGAGACTGTGCTGGAGAAGGTCAAGCTGGAGGAAGTTGCGTATAAGAAGCTTATGGAGGAGATTGGGAAGATTGAACGAGGTGAGATGGACACGTTGCTGATTGACGAGATCGGCAAGAAGGAGGCACCTGTGGTGAAACCACTTACACCCGACGTGGATAGTAATGTAACAGGGGAACCGACTGGACATAGTTCTACGACACCACTGGTGGAACAGGACTCGAGCACAACCACGAGGAAGAGAGCACAAGACGATGGTGAGGAAAACACAAGGAAGAAGCCCAAGGTTGAGGCAGAGAAAGAGGCAGAGCAAGAGGCAGAGAAAGAGGCAGAGAAAGAGGCAGAG